GCCCAGGCTGGAGTGCAATGGCGCGATCTCGGCTCACCGCAACCTCCGCCTCCTGGGTTCAGGCAATTCTCCTGCCTCAGCCTCCTGAGTAGCTGGGATTACAGGCACATGCCACCATGCCCAGCTAATTTTTTTGTATTTTTATTAGAGACGGGGTTTCACCATATTGACCAGGATGGTCTCGATCTCTTGACCTCGTGATCCACCCGCCTTGGCCTCCCAAAGTGCTGGGATTACAGCCTTGAGCCACCGCTCCCGGCTCTTTTCCATTTTTTAAGAACACCAGTCATATTGAATTTAGGGCTCACCCTAATCCAGTATGACCTCATCTTAGCTTGATTACATCTGCAAAGACCTTATTTTCAAATAGGTCATATTCATAGGTTCTGTGTAGATATGAGTTTTGGGAAACACCATTAACTCAGTGCACTGGCTGGCAGAATTTATGGCATCTACACCCTTTCTTGACAATTTCTCTGGTGTCTGGCATCCTCCCTGCCAAATCCATGCCACATCTCTAAGGCCAAAACTTCTTAAACTTCTCTGGGCATGCATATCACTGAGAGTCTTGTTAAAAGTCCGACTCTGACTCAGAATGATCCGGGCGCACCTCAGAGGTAGGGTGAGCTGAGGAGGTGCCCTGCACGACCCTGACGGGAAGGGCCTCCTTAAATGCTGTGCCCAGGGTGCCTCACTGTGCCACCCTAGTCCTGGCCTTGTGAGAGTCTGCCTTTCTGACAAATGCTGCTGGGCCAAGGACCACACTTGGAGTTGCAGTCCATGTGGGTTTAACGCTTGGAATCTCACCCTCAATAGCAATGAGGGTATTTCTATTTTGAAGTTGGATGTCTGTAACTCCTAGAAAGGCAACAGTGGTTCTGCTACATTTTTTTTTTTTTAATAACACTGGGTCACATGGGCTGGGCTGGCTGCCAATAATGTTGGTTCTGACATTTCAGGAAGTTCAGTTGGTAACACAGAGATCCAGGGCCCCTTTGTAAGCACCTGGTCAGACTTTCATCCCTAACCCTCCTGGGTTCCCAGAATATCCCACCGTTAGTCCTGCCTCCCGACCTCCATAGCACTGCCTGGAAGAGGTCCTTGCTGTCTTCCAGTAGCCTCCCTTACCAGCTAGGGGCTGGGCCCAAACCAGCTACCTCATCACCAGCGATAGAGCCTATGCATTGAGCCCTGACCCCAGGCCTTGTTATAAGCTCTACTCTTTCCTTAAAGTTATATATATATAAATATATATATATGTATTTTTTATTTATATAATACATATGTTTATGTATTCATTTTAAAATTTGATTTTTAGAGACAGGGTCATGCTTTGTTGCCCAGGCTGGAGTGCAGTGGCACAGTCATAGCTGTCTGTATTTTTTTTTTTTTTTTTTGAGACGGAGTTTCGCTCTTGTTACCCAGGCTGGAGTGCAATGGCGCGATCTCAGCTCACCGCAACCTCCACCTCCTGGGCTCAGGCAATTCTCCTGCCTCAGCCTCCTGAGTAGCTGGGATTACAGGCACGTGCCACCACGCCCAGCTAGTTTTTTGTTTTTTGTTTTTTTTTTGTATTTTTAGTAGATACGGGGTTTCACCATGTTGACCAGGATGGTCTCGATCTCTCGACCTCATGATCCACCCGCCTTGGCCTCCCAAAGTGCTGGGATTACAGGCTTGAGCCACCACGCCCAGCCTGCTGTCTGTATTTTTGAACCTCATTTGCCCTCCCTGTTACCAGAGGGACATTAATACCCATTGATGTCCACCAACAGAAATCTTGAGTCAGAGGACACAGGATTGGGGCGTTGGGCCCTCCTCTCCTCCAGGTCTTCTGCTCCTCTCACACCCGGCTCTGCCTTCTCCCCAGGGTCCAGTTTTGCATCTGAGGGATGTCAGAGCAGTCAGAGGCCTCACTGTCCAACTTCCAGGGGTGAGAAGAGAGACACTATCCTGTTAAGTCCTCATGCAGTGTTTGTCATTTGCAGTGGCTGGGGAGAAGTGGTGATAGGATCTTTCCTCTGTAATGACTGAAGACACTGAGGCACATGGGGACTTATGGGTGTGTTTGGAGCTCACACGGTGAGTTGGAAAAGAAGGTAAATCCTTTTAGTGGAAAGAACCTTCCCCACAGGTGTTAGTCAGGAGCATTCTTATTCAGGTTTTTTTAAAAATTGGGACTCCTCTGAGATAACTGAGTCTTTAAAAAAATAATTATGATTATTTTAAATAGAGACAGGGTATTGAGGTTGCCCAGGCTGGTCTTGACCTCCTAGGCTCAAGCAATCCTCCTGCATTGGCTTCCCAAAATTCTGGGATTACAGACGTGAGCCATCATTGAGTCTTGATGAGATGGGTGGGCAAGTGTCAGGATATCTTTCTTTCTTTTCTTTCTTTCTTTCTTTCTTTCTTTCTTTCTTTCTTTCTTTCTTTCTTTCTTTCTTTCTTTCTTTCTTTTTCTTTCTTTCTTTCTTTTTCTTTCTTTCTTTCTTTCTTTCCTTCCTTCCTTCCTTTCTTTCTTTCTTTTTTTGAGATGGAGTCTTACTCTGTCACCCAGGCTGGAGTGCAATGGCACAATCTTGGCTCATTGTAACCTCCATCTCCTGGGTTCAAGTGATTCTCCTGTCTCAGCCTCCCGAGTAACTGGGATTACAGGTGTGCACCACCACACCTGGCGAATTCTTGTGTTTTTAGTAGAGATGGGTTTCTCCATGTTGGCCAGGCTGATCTTGAACTCCTGACCTCAAGTGATCCACCTGCCTCGGCCTCCCAAAGTGCTGGGATTACAGGCGTGAGCTATCCTGCCCAGCCCAGCATGGCTTTTTCTAAACCATTCAGTGTAGTGGCATCTAAACTAGGTTCCACGAAACCCTGGGCTCAGGGTTGTCTTAATTCATTAGGTCCTACTTTCACTTATTACTTTTAGTGGCAAAAACTGCAATTACTTTTGCACCAACTTAATAGCAAGAAAAGTTCCTTGCTTAGGAATTCTGAGAACCTACCATCCCAAGAATAGACAGCTGAACTTCAGGGCTTACAGAGGCATTGGTGAGGACAGAACAAAAACCAGCTAATTTTTTCCCCTCTTTCTGTTAGCATTCAATATTTCCACACAACTCCAGTGAGGTGCAAGGAATTGGAAAGACTTTAATGCAAGTGAGGGCCAAGGGCTGGCCTTTAGATTTTCCAGCGATGATTTCCTAGACTCACGAGTCCTTGGATGTAGGGGGCATGAGAAGGAAAGATGGGTGCAATAATAAAGAGGAATGCTCCCCTCTTCCCTCTACCACTGAGAGATTCTTGGGTGACAGGGGTGAAAGGAGAGGAGGCAGGAAAGTCTCTGTGTGAGAAAATAATGAAAATGAATATAGAGATACTGAGTGTAGAGCCAAATTTTTTTTTTTTTTTGAGAAAGGGTCACCCAGGCTGGAGCATGATGGCATGATCATAGCTCACTGCCACCTTGAACTCCTGGGGCTCAAGGGATCCTCTCATCTCAGCCTCCCAAGTAGCTGGGACTACAGGTGTGTGCCACCATGCCCAGCTAATTTAGGAAAACCTTTGTAGAGATGGGGTCTCACTGTGTTGCCCAGGCTGGTCTTGAGGCTCGGGTGAGCCTCCTGCCTTGACCTCCTAAACTGCTGGGATTACAAGGTGAGCCACTATGCCCAGCCCCAAAAAAGAAATTTTGTGAATTAAAAAAAAAAAAGTGATTTTAGAAAACAGGTATTATAAAATATCTTGACTTCTTGTATCAAAAGATGAGTTTTCAAATTAAAGCCTCCTCATTTCCTTACTTTTCTGACCTTGGGACTAAAAGTGAAACTTTCCCAGAATTAAAAAAAAAACAACCAAAAACCAAAGAACAAAATAACTCTCTAAGCACCTCATTTCTCTGAATTCCAGACCTTTATGGTAGCCTATCCTCCTGCAGCTAACTGCTCCTAATGCCCCTGGTTCTCTTACAAGTGTGAACCTGAGCTCAGGGAAGCCTGCTCTGGAGTTGGGGTAATGGGCATTGGGTTTTCTGGCTTACAAACACTGCTCATTGGCTGTGTGACCTTGGACAGGTTCACCTTCTGAGCCGTTCTCCTTTGTAGAGCAAGCCATTTCTACCCCCTATGGGCTGACGTGCGAATTGCACAAAGGAGTATCTATAAACTGCATGTCACCCTCAACATTCAGCCGCCAAAATCAGAGGCTTCTGCTACTGTATTGCCGTTGGGTATTTTTTTGCTTTTTTTTTTTTTTTTTTTTTAAATAGGCCTAGAAAGAGACAAAAGAGCTCACGATAAGGCAGGATATGCCAGAAAATCTGTGACCAAGTCAGTGAGAAAGGAGTTGAATCCAGCGGTTAAGTGAAGTTTCTAAGGTGCTCTCTGAGGCCCCCCGCCCGTGATCTGCCACTCCCGATACCATGGGAGCCAAAGACTTGGAATCTTGGTGCTGTGAGGAGAGACACATTTCTAATAGAGAAAACAGTCACCTTTATGGAGACAGTAGGTTGGGGAGAACACAACAGGACCGTACTCAAATCTATATACATTTTTTACTTACAAGTCATATAAAAGAATAAAAAATGCAGATTTCTGACTCTAGTGTAGCTAAGGAAGCAAATGATGCTGAAAGGTACCCATTAATTTAAAATTTCATCATAGGAAGTTGGGTGACCTTTTGCACCCAATATAAAAAAGACGTTAAGTTGCTTTTTGGAACAGTAGCATTTAGGGTTTTCTTGTCATCCTTGTTTATTTCTTTGGGATGTTGCTGTGTGTCACAGAAAAAATGCTCCCCTGAATGCTATAACCAAACAAAGTTTGTTCCTTTGTTTGGTTACAGCTAATCGGCTCACTTTCTCAAGGCAAAACCGGTTAGTTCCTGTGTTTTCATGAAAATGTCAGACAACCACGAAAAGCCAAGGAAGTGCGTTGAACTGAAGGTCCGGCTTTGGTGAATTAGGCAGAGATGTTCTCAGCAGCAAACAGGTAAAATCTGACATCAAGATACATTATTTTAATGCAGGGCCAGTTATAATCTGAAATAACTGACAAGGTTCTAAAATGATAGAGCCCCGGACTGAGAAATGACCAACACCAAGTATAACACAGTACACTGAGCACCTGTTTCTATAGAAAACATTTCAAATCAAGTTCTTTATGATGTAAACCACATTTCCCAAATGCCTAAGGCACTTCCAAGCTTTAACAAGGCCTCAGAAATTCAGCGGGTGCCTGGGAGGCTTCATTCACATTCACCTCTAAGGAGAGGCTGAAAGAGGAATTTCCGGATGGCAGCTGCTGGCTCAGGACCTCGGGGCCCCTCGCCAAGGCTGTCTCTACGTGGCTCCCGGAATTGCTGAGGTCTCATTTGTCAGAGGGCTTTGTTGGGAAATAAAACAACAGCTGACGCTCGCGGGCCTTGGAACTCTGGCCAGGCTCCCAAAGAATGCATCCTAGGAGAAATAGGATGGGAGCCTTTGCCTTATCCTTGCAGCCCAAATTCTTTGTATGGCAGGAGAACATCTATACAAAATGATAAAATATTGTCTGACATTTCCCTTTACTTTGGGTATTGCTTTTAACCTTCTCAAAACCCACCCCTCCCACCTCTAACAAACCAAAGTGGAAAATGACGATTCAGGCAGCTGTTAATTGGCTCACTGTCTTAAGGCAAGCACGGTCTCAAGGCGGAGATGACACAGCAGAAAACAGAGCGGCGGTGGGGGGAAGTCTGTTACTGGCTTGTGATTTATAAAAGCCAAAGGCCTTTAGAGAAAAGGGCAGGAGTTGTACCAACATAGATGCCAAATCCAGGAGATTTGGTATCTGACCAGCAGTATGAGGGATGCTTCCCCATGATCCAGACCAGCCCAAAGCCCCTGTGGTGGCAGCCAGTGGGGAGCCACCAGAGCTTGGACATGGTGGTCTTTGACAACAGGTCTGCCCTTCTCTCCCTGACCAGTTGGGATAGAGACCTGACTGGAATCCTCTATGCTGGGAGGTGTTTCTATGGATAGAGAGAACTGGGCCTGTCTTCCTGAACGCCAACGCAGAGTAGAAGCAGTTGAGACGTGGATCTGGGTTGAGGAATGGGTTTTCCTGTACCCTCGTGTCACCCACATCTTCACAAAGGACTTACAGATGGCTGAGAGACCTGTAGGAACGGAATGGGGCTTGCAGGTGGCAGGAGAAACCTGAGACCAATGACCAAGACCAGATGTGGGTCAGTGGTCATCTTGGCAGATAGCGCTGTGGACAGATGACACTGAGGGCCACTGCTCGAGCCTTTGGTCGTCAGCTGCTACCTGGTAGCCCCACCCCTCCCCTTTCTACCCCTAGACTTGGCCTCCAGGGAAAAAGTGTGTGTAGGAACTCCCTCTGCCATTTTGAAAAGACAGGAGCTAAAATCAGTTCCATGAAGGACAAGTGTTTCGTTTCATACCTGAGTTTGTAAAATGAGAACTGTACTTTATGATGTAAACCAGATACGTGATTTTTACCTTTGTCTTCTCCATTGACTTAGTAATGAGACAGATCAGCGCAAGGACAACGTCTAGCCATACACCTGGCAGGTTCTACAAGTCACAGATCTATAACCACAGGCTGGGCCTTAGAGCAATCTTAGGGCACCTTCCTTTCTCCTGCCCACCCGTTTTATAGAAAAAACAAGAGCGGCTCCTTCCTGGCAGCACAGGGCAAAGTAAGGAAAGGGATGTGGAAAGGGATGTGCCAAAAAGGAAAAACCCAGTGGGTTTGAAATAAGGTGAGGCTCCGGGTGACCAGAGGTGAACGTATATTGTCTGTTAGTCCAGAATCTTCATGCTGAGCAAGTCAGGGATCCCACCCCTCCGGGGAGGGCCGCCTTTGGTTTGCCCTGCTGGTGTGAGCCGAGCAGGCACGTGCTTGCTTCAGTCCTGACCGCCGGTCAATTTGTGGAACAAGTCCTCATCAAGTGTTTCATTCTGGTCCTTGGAGCGGGTGGACAAGAAAATGTAGCCCCCAATGTACTCGTGCACAATCTTGCAATCTGCACTCAAGCAGGTGAATGCAGTAGAGACGTTTTGGTCAAACTCGATTACCACCTGGAATAGGAAGGCACAGAGAAGCTTAAACTCTGACAAATGATGAGAAAGGGGCTCTTTGCTGGACTGGACCCTGGAGCTGAGGGCTGCTGAGGTGGATGACAGATGGATATCCCCCTAAAATGCACAGAAAACCATCACTTCCGTTAAACACTTCCAGAAGACATCTTTGCTCTCTTTATGCCCTCTGGTGGTGTCGACTTTGCTGCACATCTGGTTAAAAAAACTCCCAATACATTTTCTGTTTGTAGTTTAAATACAAGGATTTCCCAAGCACTCCCTGTGTTGAGGGGCAGAGTGCTATTTTATTTTATTTTATTTTTTGAGATGGAGTTTCTGTCATCCAGGCTGGAGTACAGTGGCACGATCTCGGGTCACTGCAATCTCCACCTCCCAGGTTCAAGTGATTCTTGTGCCTCAACCTCCTGAGTAGTTGAGATTACAGGTGCTCACCACCACACCTGGCTAATTTTTGTATTTTTAGTAGAGACAGGGTTTCACCATGTTGGCCAGGCTAGTCTCGAACTCCTGACTTCAAGTGATCCACCCGCCTCAGCCTCCCAGTGATGGGATTACAGGTGCAAGCCAATGCACCCAGCCTGCAGGCTCTTTAATGGTTAATAAAAGGTCTGCTTGAATTTTCCTACCACCACTGCCCCGAACCCTTTCCTAGATGAAAGTCATAAACTCTAAGCTCTAGAAGAAAGACTTAAAGACTTTGCTGTTTCTTAACCTTGGCTGCCCATTAAAATCACCTGCAGACCTTTAAAAATTACTAATGCCTAACTCCTACTCCCAGAGATTCAGATTTAATTGGCCTTTGGTGTGGTCTGGGCAGTGGTATTTTAAAGCTCTCCAGGTGATCCTAATATGCATCCAGGCTTTAGAGCTACCGCCTTAGAAGTCACCCAATCTCTGACGTTGATTTTACAAATAAGCACCCAGATGGTTATCAGCACTGCTGAGAGGTAGCCAGGGTTCTTAACAAATGTGTGGGCCTCTTATCATCCCTCTTCATCAATGACTTTCTATTGGAAAACGAGAATGCCACAGGAATGAGGGAAGATTGACTCTATATCAGCAATATCAGGATGTTTCTATTAATTCAAGAATGAATGAAACAGGGTCTCGTTTTGTTACCTAAGCTGGAGTGCAGTGGCACAATCATAGCTCACTGTACCCTTGAACCTCAGGTGATCGTCTCCTGCTGAGTAGTTGAAACTACAGGGGTGTACACCATCACACCTGGCTAATTTGGCTTTTTAAATTTTTTTTTAAATTTTCTGTAGAGATAGGGTCTCATTATGTTGCCCAGGCTGGTCTCGAACTTCTGGCCTCAACTGATCCTCCCACCTCAGCATCCCAAAGCACTGAATAAAATGTTTTAAATTAGTGGCAGGATGCTAAGGTGCCTCTAACTTCATCTAGAATTTTCCATGATACAGACTTGGCCTGAACTTAGCTTTAGTATGGGAGATGATGGGAGGCTGTAACACAGGCTAAGGGTTTGAGGGCTCCTGGTTTTAAGAACTGAAGCTTGGCCAGGCGTGGTGGCTCACACCTGTAACCCCAGCACTTTGAGAGGCCGAGGCGGGTGGATCACGAGGTCAGGAGTTCGAGACCAGCCTGACCAACACGATGAAACCCCCATCTCTACAAAAAATAGAAAAATTAGCTGGGCATGGTGGCATGTGCCTGTAATCCCAGCTAGTTGGGAGGCTGGAAGCTGGGAGGTGGAGGTTGTGGTGATCTGAGATTGTGCCACTGCACTCCAGCCTGGGTGACAGAAAGAGACTCCATCTCAAAAAAAAAAAAAGCAAAGCTTTTCACAGTCAATGCTATGCACCTCACTTGCTTCTTCAGCAGTTTTTCCCTTTTGGGACTGGAGTGCTCTCCAGGTGAGCAACTGAATCTTCGAGTCCTCAACCAGATTTCTTGGCAGCCAGCTAGATGAGGACTTTTTTGGATTTATTTTGCATAGCAGTTACAGCTCCAGTAGCTTCTGCTAAGTAATGATCAACCTAAATCCTATATAATCCTATGCTGAGTCAATAGAAATTAATCAAACTGCTTTTAACAATTTTAGAATCTGTCTGTATTGGTATTGGAAGTCTGCATGGAGACTAAGCCAGCTTCCAATGCTAATACAAGAGCATTTGGTCTGTGTTTATTAGGAAGCTGCCCAGGATTGCATGATTATTTTAGCAGACAATTACCACATGCTTGTGGTTTCTTAGCTCTAAATAGAAGAACACCTTTTAAAAATCAGAATAATCTGCAATTCTGAGGGAACACACATTTATAGGCTCAACACTTATCACCAAAAACTTTCACTTTACCTGCCGGGTTTCCCAGTTTACATTCCACTGTTTGATATTTGTGAATCTCCACGTTGTCATTGGAATCCCAGTGGTGGCATCGATTTTAATCAACCTGTTATATGAAACTCCCAGAATTTCATCTTTCTTGCTTCCTTTAAATCTGAAAAGAATCATAATATTAGTTAAGAGAAGCAACTGCTTCCTATAATGTATTCATTTATATATAACTTCTTAAGGATACTACTGGTATTTCTAAGTCATTTCAGAGGAATAGGCAATGGAAGATCGACTTTCTGCCGGGGTGCATTTTTATTGTGATATAAACAGCATGAAAAAAGAACGAAGGCTATCCTGCAGATGGTCTCTAAGTGAAATTGACATCAGAGAAAAGTAAAATATGATGGAATCAAATATATTCATTCAAAATTATTACTGACTCTGTCCAGCACTCCTCTAGGCATGGGGATATAGTAGTGAGCTAAATGGAAGGAAAATTCCTGACTATAGGAGGGAGAAGATCGTTAAGTAGGAAGTACATATGCCAGATAGATCATGAAAGAAAATAAAGTTGGAGGGGTACAGGGAATACTGGCAATGAGGTGGTTAGCATTTAAAACAGGAAGGTCAGGGAAGTTCAGTGAAAAGGTGACATTTGATTAAAAAAAAAATGGATATGCATGAGGATGTAAGCCATGAGGATATCTGGGGAAAGGGTATTCCAGGCAGAGGGCACAGCTCCTTTTTTTTTTTTTTTTTTTTTTTTTTTTTTTTTTTTAACGTGCTTAAGGACCTGCCAGGAGGCCCACGTGGCAGACACAGTGAAGGAGGGGAGAGAAATACGAATTCAAGAGCAAAGGTCTTGCAGGCCACTGTAAGGATCTGGTTTTTACTCAGAATGAGATAAGAAATCCTTCAGATGTTTTTTTAAAACATGTATGTGTGTGTCTGTGTGTATGTGTGTGTTGTAGAGACAGGGTCTCGTTATGTTGCGTAGGCTAGTCTTGAGCTCCTGAACTCAGGCAATCCTCCTGCCTTTGCCTCCCAAAGTGCTGGGATTACAGGCATGAGCCACCATGCCCCTCCCAGATGGTTTTGAGCAGAGGCTTCACAAAATCTCATTTAAGATTTTAACAGGATCCCTCTGGCTGCTAAGTTAAAAACTTAGGGGGACCAGGGTAGAGGCAGGAAGACCAAGCAGGATCACTCTGGACCGGCACTGTGGCGGTGGTGGTGGAGGAGGGGGAAGAAGTGGTCGGATTCTGTGTACTTTGATGGTAGAGTCACTAGGAGTTGCCTATGGGCAGGATGCCAGTGCAAGAGAAAGAGCAGAATAAACAATGACTCCAAAGGATTTGGCCTGAATGTCTAGTGGGAGGAGTTGCCTTCTACTGAGATGAAGAATGTAGGGGAGAGCCAGTTCAGGGGAAAATCAGGAATTTTGGACATGTTGAGATGAGATGCTCCTCAGATATCAAAGGGTCACTGAATCTATGAATCTTCAGTTCAAGAGATAGTTCTGGGCTTAAGTACACATTTCAGAGTAACTGGCATATAAATGAAGTCAAAAGAACGGCTGAACCTGAGAGAGTGAGTAGAGATCGAGAGGAGGAATGCTTTAAGAACTGAGGCCTGGCTGGGTGTGGTGGTCCACACCTGTAAATCCCTCCCCGCACTTTAGGAGGCCGAGGAAAGAGGGTTACTTGAGGCCAAGAGATTGAGACCAGCCTGGGGAACATAGTGAGAGTCCATATCCTAAAAAAAAAGTCAGCTAGGTGTGGTGGCTGGCAGGTCCCAGCTGCTTGGAAGGCTGAAGTGAGAGGATCACGTGAGCCCAGGAGTTCGAGGTTACAGTGAGCCATGATTGTGCCACTGAGACAGAGTGAGACCCTGTCTCTAATTTAAAAAAAAGAAAAAAAAGAATAAAACAAAAAACTGAGGACTGTGCACTCTGGTATGCTAACAGATTAGAAAGATGAGAAAGAACCAGCGAAGGAGACCGAAAGCACCAGTCGGTGAGGGAGGAAAAAAGTCAGGAAAGTCAGTTGTGTTGGAAGGCAAGTGACGAAAACTGCCAAGGGGGATGGGGTGACTCACCGTGTCACATGCTGCTGAGAGGGCAGCTGGCACAAGGACTGAAGGTTGACCTATGGGCTCAGCAACATGAATGAAGGTCATGGATGGTCAACAGGTGACCTTGATGACATAAAGTAGCAGGGCCAGTGGGGTGGGGAGGGAGAGAAAACCTAACGAATGGATTCAAGAGACAATGGAAGAAAGGAACTGGAGGTAGTGGGTAGGTACAATACATTAAAGAAGCTCTGCTGTGAAGTGGGGCAGAGAACAGGGACAGCAACCGCAGGGGATGAAAGGAGGGGATACTGATGTGAAAATTGACATTGCAGGAGACAAAAGCATAATTAAAAAAAATTCCTAGTTGGGTTTTTACATCATTATCTTCTTCCTTTTTATTTTTTTGGTAGTGTTTCATTCTTGTTGCCCAGGCTGGAGTGCAATGGCACGATCTCAGCTCACTGCAACCTCTGCCTCCTAGGTAGCTGGGATCACAGGCTCCACCATCATGCCTGGCCAGTTTTGTATTTTTAGTAGAGACAGGGTTTCTCCATGCAGGCTGGTCTCAAACTCCCGGCCTCAGGTGATCTGCCTGCCTTGGCCTCCCAAAGTGCTGGGATTACAGGCATGAGCCACTGTACCTGGCCTATCATTCTTATCTTCTGCATGTCATCCTTGATTAAAGTCTACTCTACTTTTCTGGAATTATTTCCATATTATTCCTTCATTTTACCACCTTAATGCTTAATATCACAAGTTAACCCACTTAGGACTCCACCTGCTTCTCTCTAACCTATGGGAATTCTCTGGGCTGCTCTTCATCACCGAGGGAGTGTTGAAACAAACACCTAGGTTTCTCAGGTGTGGGCAGACCCCGATTCCACCAGCCATCCTACACATAGCAGGGCTGCTCCAGCCTTTGACTCTGACTGGCCTTGGAAAAAGTAGATCTTCACCATACCTGGAGCCGCTGCCTCAAAGCCTCACCTCCATAAACAGATGTCAGAAGCAGAGGGAGGTGCAGGGGGAAATAGCTGGTAAAGGAGTCTTTATCATCAGAAACTTCAGGCCCGCACCACATGTCACCACGTATCAGGCACTTTGCCTGCAGGTTGCACTGGGTTCTCTCAGCACAGTAGGTTCGGAATGCCCACTGAACACATGCAGAAGTTGTGGCTTGGGGAGGGCAGCAGAAATGCCCAGGTCACAGAGCTAGCAGAGGCATAGGTGGTACTGAAAGCTGGGCCTGGTCAGTTGAAGTGTTCATGTGTTTTTCACTTTGCAGGGTTGACTGCAGGGTTACAGGTGAGTATGTGTCTGCACATGGACACGTTTGCACATAGTGGGTATCCAGCACAACCCTGCCTTTCCTCACTCTTTTGCTGGGCTAAGTAAAACAGAAAAAGTTGCTTGTTTATGACAAACATTGGGGACTGATGTTATATGAGCTATTTCAGTGTTGCCTGTTTTTGTTTTAGAGACAGTCTCGCTCTGTTGCCTCGGCTGGAGTGCAGTGGCACCATCTCAGCTCACTGCAACCTCCGCCTCCCAGGTTCAAGTAATTCTAGTGCCTCAGCCTCCTGAGTAGCTGGGACTACAGGTGTGCACCAGCATGCCCAGCTAATTTTTTGTATTTTTAGTAGAGATGGGGTTTCACCATGTTGCCTAGGGTGGTCTTGAACTCCTGAGCTCAGGCAGTCCACCCACTTTGGCCTCCCAAAGTGCTGGTATTATAGGCGTGAGCCATTGTGCCTGGCTGGAAAGTCTGAATAGTCTCCCCATTTAGGAGTAATGGAGAAATGGAGTCTTTGGAAAGGGCCAAGAAAACAAAAATTGTCAATGCTTAAAAATACAAACCAATTTTCCCAGCCCCAAATTGTAAGATGAGAAAGTGACAGAGAGTACTTGCTGTACTGCAGGATTGGGTATAGATTTCGCTTAAGCATCAGTCTTCTCTATTGAACTGAAAATGTAATTTGATTTACAAACATGCTGTGGATGTGTTTTGGGAAACCATCCATTGTTTACAGTGGGGCAGAGCCATAGTGCTGGGCAGGGATGACACATGAGGACACAGGGCTTATGCCAGGGTGTGCGCTGGACTAGGAGGTGAACTTGGACAAGTCACCTAAGCTATTCTTCTGGGAGCAATAGATGGGCCTCCTATGTGTCTTTCAGATCCAGAAATCTTCAGAGACCAGTGGGAACAGGATTGCTATCTGATAAAGCTGGGTAGAAATAAAGCAGGGCTTGCTGGGACCTCTCTAAAAACCTAAAAATTCTGCAAAGCCACACCACAAGACACAATATGGGATGTAAAAGGGAGGAAGCTGACATGAAAGAAAGTCATAGCCAGGTGTGGTGGCTCACACCTGTAAACCCAGTGCTTTGGGAGGCTGAGGTGGGAGGATTGCTTGAGATCAGGAGTTTGAGACCAGCCTGGGCGACAAGGTGAGATGCCCCTGATCTCTTAAAAAAAAAAAGAAAGAAAGAAAAGAAAAGAAGTTACAGATTTCATAAAATCAAAATGTGATGTTTTCCCTCTGGTTTTGCAAATGTAGTTATCCTAAAAGAACCCTTCTTTTAAAATTTCCTTTCCCACAGTTACCTGAGCTTTGGGGTGTTGGCACTTAGAACAGAAGGTATGGAAAATGTTTATGAGCAGCTCAAAGTGTCGGGGCTATTTGTAAAAGGATAGTATTCTGAAATAAAAAGAGTTCTATATTCTATGCTAAATGAGAAAACTGGGGCTCCCAGAAAGCCATTGAAAATTGAATGGAAAGTGTGAGAAGCAAGTGAACACTGTAATCACCTGACAAGGTAGTAGGTGAGGCCAAACTCAGGCAGTGACTGCCACGCCTGGATGAACCGCAGCTTGGCTTCGACCAGGGGCATCTGGGCCACGTTCTGGTGCGCCTCCAGGATCCGGGCAGCCAGCTGAGCAGAAACAGACATCAACCTCTCCTCACATGCACCGGCTGCTCTGTAATCACCCTGTTAGCTCCCGCTAGCCCGTCAGAACAGTACACACAAGGCCTGACTGCAGCTCTAGAAAGACAATCTGTTCTCATCCATTCATTCTCTCTTTCTCTCTCTGTCTCTTTCTCTCTCCTTCCTTCCTTTCCTCCTTCCCTCCTTCCTTTTTGAGATGAAATCTCACTCTGTCGCCCAGGCTGGAGTGCAGTGTCACAATCTTGGCTCACTGCAACCTCTGCCTTCCGGGTTCAAGCCATTCTCCTGCCTCAGACCCCCGAGTAGCTGGGACTACAGGCATGCACCACCAAGCCCGGCTAATTTTTGTATTTTCAGTAGAGATAGGGTTTCACTGTGTTGGCCAGGCTGGTCTCAAATTCATGACCTCGTGATCCACCCACCTTGGCCTCCCAAAGTGCTGGGATTACAAGTGTGAGCCACCGCGCCTGGCCCTCTCTTTTTCTACAAGATACACCAATCATCAGGAGAAGCAGGAAAAAGATCACCCAACACATAAACTTCTAAAGCTGGCAGCACTGGAGAGCTCTGGGATCTCCCTTTCTGAGGTCCGTGGAGTGTCCACAGACAACGGTTCTACATGAATCAGCTCATCTGTGCAACTGTTAACCCACTCCTATAGAAGCATAATTTTAATTATTAATTTGTGAGAACTAAATAATTAAGTTCAATCTGGGAATACCTACATGTTCAGTCAGCGGAACAGTCACCTCTAACAAAATTAATAATTTCATAACATTAATATTCAGGACATAGTCAAATTTCACCATCAGCTGATTTTTTTCATCATGATACTCTTAATCAGATGGAATTACTCCCCTCCCCCTTTTTTTGAGACAGAGTCTTGCTCTGTCACCCAGGTTGGAGTGCAGTGGTTCAATCTCAGCTCACTGCTGCCTCTACCTCCTGGGTTCAAGCAATTCTCCTGCCTTAGCCTCCCAAGTAGCTGGGATTAAAGGCCTGCACTACCACGTCTGACTAATTTTTGTATTTTTAGTAGAGAAGGGATTTTACCATGTTGGCCAGCTTGGTCTTGAACTCCTGATCTCAAGTGATCTACCCACCTTGGCCTCCCAAATTGCTGGGATTACAGGCATAAGCCACCGTGCCCAGCCAGAAATCCTCCTTTTATTTTTGTTTGCATAAAGAATTTACTGCAAACAACTGCCCTAACAAGATTAACAGTACCTGTTTAGATTTGTGTTTTTTTGCACACCGTGGTGACACAAAACATTCTGGGTTCACATCCATGTTTTCGAGACTGGAAGTCAGCTGAGATGCAGAGTTCCTGTTTTTCATTCTCAGAAATGAAAGAATGTTGAGGACCTCTGGCTGGTAGGAGCTGTCTGCCATGGTTTTGCCCTTCGATGCCAACATGCAGGCAGCCATCCATTGGGCGTATTGATTCTCCTGCAGCAAACACCAGAAGGCTGAGAAGCAAGCTCAAGTGCAAAGACCCCTGCTGCTCACAGAGGGAGACTTGGGCTTTCTTCCCCATTACAGTGCAAAACCATCACCTTCCCAGCAAGATGTGAAGTGGCATGCATTCTGAGTCACTGCTCATCACCTAATGTAAACCTGACAGTAGCTTTTGAGTCCTGTGTTGAGTTTCTAGATGCTAAGGAGCTAGAGGATAGGAATGTCAACTTTGATAAATTGCATGCAGGGAATTTTACATTTAAAGACTATCCAAGGGCCAGGTGCGGTGGCTCATGCCTGTAATCCCAACACTTTGGGAGACTGAGACGGGTGGATTGCTTGAGGTCAGGAGTTCAAGACCATCCTGGCCAACATGGCGAAACCCTGTCTCTACTAAAAATGCAAAAATTAGCTGTGCGTGGTGACAGATGCCTGTAATCCCAGCTACGCGTGAGGCTGAGGCAGGAGAATCCTTTGAACCTGGGAAGCAGAGGTTGCAGTGAGCTGAGATTGTGTCAATGCACTCGAGCCCAGGAGACAGAACAAAACTTGGTCTCAAAAAAAAAAAAAAAAAAATGGCGGGCACAGTAGTTCACACCTGCAATCCCAGTACTTTGGGAGGCTGGGGCAGGTGGATCATGAGGTCAGGATATCAAGACCATCCTGGTTAATACAGTAAACCTTGTCTCTACTAAAAAATACAAAAAATTAGCTGGGTGTGGTGGTAGGCGCCTATAGTCCCAGCTACTTGGGAGGCTGAGGCAGGAGAATTGCTTGAACCCAAGAGGCAAAGGTTGCAGTAGGCCAAGATTGCACCAGTGCACTCCAGCCTGGGTGACAGAGGGAGAGTCTGTCTCGAAAAAAAAAAAAAAAAAAAAAAAAGATGATCCAAGGACACCATGAAGTGCCATGAGGCACAGATAAGTGAAACCCCAAATGATCAGAGCGCTTTCCTTGATACATATTTCCATTTCTATATCACATCTGATCTCTATGAGAAATGAAAATGATGAAAAAAACCTAGCCAATTTCCTATATTATTTGTACCCTGGCCTGTCCTTAGTAAAGACTCTAAGGTAGCAATTATGGCCATTATGGGACCTTAACAAGTCAGTGATGGCTTCTATTGTTGTTTAGTGTCTGTGCTCATTTCTGACTTCAGAGAGTGAACAGGAGTGGTCCTCAAAAGTACAGGGGATGCAGCTAAAGAGGGGCAACAGTGGGTGAGGAACATTAAATTCACTGCCCCGATACGGTTTGGCTCTCTGTCCCCACCCAAATCTCATGTTGAAATGTGATTCCGAGTGTTGAGGAGGGACCTGGTAGAAAGTGATTGGATTATGGGGGCAGATTTACTCCTTGCTGTTCTCATGATATTGAGTGAGTTCTCATGAGATCTGATAATTTAAAAGTGTGTGGCTCTTCCCCCTTCACTCTCTCCCTCTCTTGTCACAATGTGAAGATGTGCTTGCTTCCCCTTCTCCTTCCACTAAGATCGTAAGTTTCCTGAGGCCTTCCCAGCCATGGCTCCTGTATAGCCTGTGGAACTAGGAGTCAATTAAACCTCTTTTTTCTCCCAGTCTCAGGTAGTTCTTTATAGCAATGTGAGAATGGACTAATATACCCCCTACCCCCATCCACACCCTTCGCCATATAACTTTACAGTTCCTCCCACCAGGGACAGTGAAATTCCCATTCGTTGACTGCAGGCTGAGTTATGTCATCTGCTTTGGCCAGTGGAATGTGGGTGGAAATAACAATGTGCCAACTTCAGGCCGGGCGCGGTGGCTCAAGCTTGTAATCCCAGCACTTTGGGAGGCCGAGGCGGGTGGATCACGAGGTCGAGAGATCGAGACCATCCTGGTCAACATGGTGAAACCCCGTCTCTACTAAAAATACAAAAAATTAGCTGGGCATGGTGGCACGTGCCTGTAATCCCAGCTACTCAGGAGGCTGAGGCAGGAGAATTGCCTGAACCCAGGAGGCGGAGGTTGCGGTGAGCCGAGATCGCGCCATTGCACTCCAGCCTGGGTAACAAGAGCGAAACTCCATCTCAAAAAAAAACAAAAAAACAAAAAAAGAAACAAAAAAAAAAACAATGTGCCAACTTCAAGCCTAAGCTTTAGGAGCTGCACCTATTGCCATGTGCCCTCTCACACTTCTGCCTTCACCAAGAAGAGACCTTCCCTAGGCATTCTGGGACCCAGAATAAATAAAATCAGCTTAATCAGAGGCACAGTCCAGCTAAGCCTGTGTCTCCGAACCCAAATGACCAGCTGACACCATCCTGGATCATCCAGTCCCCAGACTATCTTTCAGAAAACAATGTTTATTTATTTATTTATTTATTTGAGACGGAGTTTCGCTCTTGTTACCCAGGCTGGAGTGCAATGGCGCGATCTCGGCTCACCGCAACCTCCGCCTCCTGGGCTCAGGCAATTCTCCTGCCTCAGCCTCCTAAGTAGCTGGGATTACAGGCACGCGCCACCACGCCCAGCTAGTTTTTTGTATTTTTAGTAGAGACGGGGTTTCACTATGTTGACCAGGATGGTCTCGATCTCTCGACCTCGTGATCCACCCGCCTCGGCCTCCCAAAGTGCTGGGATTACAGGCTTGAGCCACCGCGCCCGGCCATATTGTTTTTATTTTTTGGGGGAGGGGACAGAGTCTTGCTCTGCCACCCAGGCTGGAGTGCACTGGCACCATTTCAGCTCACTGCAAACTCTACATCCCGGGTTCAAGTGAATCCCCTGCCTTAGCCTCCCAAGTAGCTGGGATTACAGGCATCTGCCATCACATCTGGCTAATTTTAGTATTTTTAGTAGAGAAGGGTTTCACCATGTTGGCCAGGCTGGTGTCGAATTTCTGACCTCAGGTGATCCTCCCACCTTGGCCTCCCAAAGTGCTGGGATTACAGGTGTGAGCCACTGCATGGCGAATGTTTATTATTGAATGTCATTGTGATTTTGTTACATTGTGATTGTCTGTTACAAAGCAATAGTTAACTGACACAATAGTGCTCTAAATCTGTGAAAACATTTTTAGGTTTTGCTCTTACACTTAGTGAAGGTGAAGTGACTTAACATTTTTGGGATTTTACTCACATGGTCACATCTCAAATACATTTCATTCATACCATCGGCCACAGGAATTAGTAACTTGATTCCAAATTTTCTCCCTGCTACATTTACATCTGGCACAACTTCACAGCCTGAAGGATAAAGATCAGGGACAAAATCAAGTTATGAAGCATCTGTTAGATAAATATCAGGTGTGTATCTAAAATGAAGACTTTGTATATAAGCCCCTAAGATCTGGTTTTGAAAAATGGAGGACTAAGCTGATAACAATAATTAATGGATAACTAGATAAGACTTATGAGCAATTAACATAGACAAATAAAAATACTTTTATGGTTTTCTTAAATCAAAAAGTCAATTTAATTCATCTTCAGGTTAATGTTGGCTCTCCAAACTCAGAAAAAATTATGACTATGAACTTTAAAATAAATCAAAGCAGAAGGAATTCTCTGATTGCCACAATAATGAGAGTTGAGTGTACTGGTTAATTAAATATTTCAATTATTCGATAGTTGTCAGGACATTCACAGTGACCTTCAGAAATTAGAATAGGCGTTAAAGTGACACTAAATTAAATGTAAGTGTTCTGGAATACAGAAAGCTTTTCAGGATCTTACAGCACCTAATGTCCTACACTCTTGGACATGAATAAATTCTGGACACACTGAGAAAGACAGAACAGCAGAATGCAAATAAACAGGTTTACTAGACCGTATTCAAGGCCCATGCTCTGAAGAGCAGCTGCAGTCAGGATGTCATTTGGAAAAAAAACAGTGACACAGGTATGGCGGTTCCTCTAGAAGTAAACTGCTTCATTGTGTAGGAACCCTGCCTTTAATCTGCTACCTGGCTTTTTTATCACCCAGGCTGGAGAGCAGTGGCGTGATCTCAGTTCACTGTAACCTATGTCTCTTGAGTTCAAGCAATTCTACTGCCTCATCCTCCCAAGTAGCTGGGACTACAGGCATGTGCCACCATACCTGGCTAATTTTTGTATTTTCAGTAGAGATGGGGTTCCACCATGTTGGCCAGGCTGATCTTGAACTCTTGACCTCAGGTTATCCGCCCACCTTGGCCTCCCAAAGTGCTGGGATTACAGGTTTGAGCCACTGCGTCTGGCCTGCTTCCTGACTTATGATGAGCCACAGCAAGATGTAGGTAGGGTACTCTTACCTCTAAGATTTAGTTTTTCTACTGGTTCTCCTTGTTCAAGTTCCTTATTTTTAAAATAGGCTATGGATGTGTCTTTAAAGACAAACCAATACTGTTTGAAAGCTTTTAGTAGCAACTTCTTGGGCCTGCAAATTAAAGAGAGTAAACATTTAAATCACCATCCAGAAATGTAGAACATACTGCAGATTTCAAGCAGATCAGATGCTCTAGATGCCCTGTCAAACAAAACATGCTTCATTTTTTCAAAAATTATTTTCAAATTGCTCATTTCTAAACACTAGAAATGAAGTGCGGATATGAGATGTAAATTTTAACACCAAGGCTCCACCTGGGGCCACACCTGGCTCTGCTACTGTTTGCATGAGTGCCCTGGGAAAGATCCTGCACTCACCTGGGCTGCATGTACTTCCTCTGTGTGCTGGGAACAGCTGTAATCTGGGAACCCAGGGCTTTTGTGAGGATAGAATGAGGTAATTTACATGAAGAGCTGATCACAGTGCCTGACACAAGTGAAGTGCTAAACTGTGATGGTGTATGTGAGAAACCTATGTGAATCTGGTCACATCTGGAATCTCAGCATATTTCCTGCATTTGAAAAAGGTGTCGATATGGACGGCCCAAGCTTCAAGTTATCAGACATACAAGTCAGATATAAACATGAGCAGCATTTTCTGTAGTTTCTTCTTAGCTTTTAAGAGAAACTATAAGAGAATTCTCAGTGAGCCAGGGAAATCAGCAAATCTACAGCTGGTCAATATAGACTCTATTGTTACTAAAAACTATTTTGAGGGAAGATATCCGACAGTGGTACTGGTATCTGTTGGGGCCAGAAAATCTTATACTGTGGACTACACAAGGTTGGTGGTGCCAATGGTAAGCCTAAAGGTTGGGTCATTCAAAAGAGGAAACCTGAGAATGAGCTAGGGGGTAAGACAGGGGTCAAAGATAGGTAGAGAAAAGAAATTATTAGTACTGGTTCTGTGGAAGCATCCCGGCCTTGGGGACAGATCAGAATATCTCATGCCAGAGGGGTGGAATTCTGCATCAAGAATGGGAGAAGAGAGGAATCTTGGTGTTAACACCATTCATATGTAGTTTGGGCCAGTTTTTTTTAACATGTCAGTACTAGTCTCTCCTTAGCTAAAAATGTATTATTCTTTACAAAAAGATAAGAGAAAACGTGGACATTAAGAAAAGGTATATGCCAGGTACGGTGCCATAATCTCAGCACTTTGGGACGCTGAAGTGAGAGAACTGCCTGAGGCCAGGAGTTCAGGACCAGCCTGGGCAACATAGCCAGATCCCACCTCTACAAAAAAAGAAAAATTAGCCAGGCATGGTGGTGTGTCTATAGTGCCAGCTACATGAGGGGATTGCTTAAGCCTGGGCAGTTGAGGCTGCAGTGAGCTGTGATCACACTGAGTGACAGAGTGAGGCCTTGTTTCTAAAAAATAAATAAATGAAATTTACAAACCCAAGAATTTTCCCCCCCAGTATATTATAGAAGAATATTACATACAAGTTATACAAATAAATTTGAAAAACATTACATGAAGTTAACATTTCCAGGATTAAGAAAAACACTGTATTAAAGTAGTATTTATTTGCTGGGTACGGTGGCTCACACTCGTAATCCCAGCACTTTGGGAGGCCATCATGGGCAGATCACTTGAACTCAGGAGTTCGAGACCAATCTGGCTAACATGAGGAAACCCCAGCTCTATTAAAACTACAAAAATTAGCCAGCTGTGGTGGTGCACACCTGTAATACCAGCTACCCAGGAGGCCGAGGCAAGAGGATTACTTGAACCGAAAGGTGGAGGCTGCAGCAAGCTGAGATCAGGCCACTGCACTTCAGTCTGCATGACAGAGCAAGACTCCATATCAAAAATAATAATAATAATAAAAATAAAAAAAAGGTATCTTAACTATAGCCCTCAACATGATAAATACAAGTTTTTTGTTTGTTTGTTTTTTTGTTTTCAGATAGAGTCTTGCTCTGTCACTCAGGCCAGAATGCAGTGGCATGATCTTGGCTCACTGCAGCATCTGCCTCCTGGGTTCAAGCGATCCTTGTGCTTCAGCCTCCTGGGTAGCTGGGATTACAGGTGTGCCCCACCATGACCACCTAAGTTTTGTATTTTTAGTAGAGTTGGGGTTTCACCATGTTGGCCAGACTGGTTTCGAACTCCTGAGCTCAAGTGATCTGCCCACCTTGGCCTCCCAAAGTTCTAGTATTAAAGGCATGAGGCTCCACACCCAGGCAGTTCTAAGGAACATATTTAGAAGGCTGTTTATCTAATACTCAGATTCTCCAAAATGAATAGCATTTGAGAATAATAAAGATACAACCTTTATAGGAAGGCTACAGTCACCATTTGGTTTGTGAAGGGCTTGATTTGTCCTCTACAGAGAGTGTGGTAACTCATTTTTTTGGTAGAATAATTATGAATACTTTATTAAGATGTATTTGTGGACTCAAATTGTTACTTTTTTTGTAGCTCTGACTATAACAAAATGAGTGAAATGTGGTTACAACCATTTTTGCCACAGAAGTTAAATGAATAACCCTGGCTGGGCATGGTGGCTCATGCCTGTAATCCCAGCACTTTGGGAGACCGAAGTGGTTGGATCACCTGAGTTCAGGAGTTCAAAACCAGCTTGGCCAGCATGAAACTCCCTCTCTATAAAAATAATAAAATTAGCTGGGCATGATGGTGGGTGCCTATAATCCCAACTACTCAAGAGGCTAGGCGGGAGAATAGCTCCTTCCTGGGAGGTGGAGGTTACAGTGAGCTGAGATCGTGCCATTGCACTCCAGCCTGGGTGACAGAGTGAGACTCTGTCTCAAAAAAAAAAAAAAAGGAATGACCCTATTGTTTGTGACCACATCCTACAATCACAGTAAAAGAAACCCAAAACCAAACCTGTAGAAACCTGGTGACAAATATTGTTACCTTTGGATGCTTATTTTTCATTTATATCTGCTTCATTGTTCATTCTTTCCAAGTCTTTCTTTGCATCCTATGTTATCAAAAGCAGCTTATGTTTCCTTTAAAACCACTGCCCCAGTGAAGTGCCAGTTGGTTAAGAAAAGTCAACAAACCATAAAGTGAAATAAGGAACTGATAGGAATTCAAAGAGCCTTGTTTCTTTCATCCTGACACACCCTGGCACCATTGCAGAAGTGGCAGTCCATTCTTTCCATGAAAACCTTCTCTGCCTTTGTAGCAGTTTCAGGTCGACCTGAGGTGATGGGGGAGTTTATCAGAAGCACTTAAACAGGTAGATAAACTAAAGTGACTACTCTCTGCAAGCCGAAGATCAAAGTTCTAGAGAGAAATGGCTTTTAAACTATAAAAGAGCCTTCAAGGTACTTAGCCTCCCAGATGGATCCTCTTAGAATCTTCAGTAAGGCAGATATGTTTATTATCACTGATGACGGCCAGGTTCATGCCGCCATTCATTGAGCATGTACTATGAGCCAGGTACCATGCTTAATGCTTCATATGCATTATTTCATTGAATCTTCCTGACAAACCCAAGAGGAGGCATATTCTCATTCTATAGATTGGAAAATGGAGGCTCAGAGACATAATATATTGCCCAAAGTCACCTACTGGTGTGTGTGGTAGAGCTAGGATTCAACCCACTGTCTGTCTGATGGCAAAGTCCACACTTTCACCGTTGAACCATGAACCTGTTTCAGGGACATACAATTTAAACTCCTGAACTCTTTATCTTCAAGGCTTTGTTATGAGTTAACTCCTTTTCCCCATGAAAGGTTACTTACCTAAATAATTTGAGATTATCTGCGAGTGTAGGGATGTCAGTAATGTCCTCCTAAGAGAAAACAGATAACGTTTCAAAAGCAGGAACTTGGCAAGTGATGCTGACATTCAGCCTGGACTGTCCAGTCGGGCAGTCACTTGCTACAAGTGGCTATTTAATGAATTAATTCAAATTAAATGAAATGAAAAACTCAGTTCTTCAGCTACACTCGCCATATTTCCAATAGTTAGCTGGGCATGGGAATAAGGAGGGTCGGAAAAAGAACTGGGACCTGTTGAGGTCCCCGAGGTGGCTGGCAACGTTCTATTTCTTGATTTCAGTGGTGACTTGAGTGACAACTTAATACTAACTTGTTGAGCTGTACATGTATGTATTTTTCACTTTTCTGTTTGTGTCATAGATGACAAAAAGGCAAAACGAGATGAAAAATATGAAAAAATGGATCAAGTACTCCCTGTAACTATCCTTCAAGTTAAAAATCTGAATTAGAAATGAATACTTTCATATGCAAACAAAAGATTTTATAATTTTTACATTAGAGTGGGGAGCTTCTGCTGCACCCAGGTCACTGATTAAACTCTCAAAGTGACCCTGCTTCAAAGTTCATTCTGCAATGTAGGTTGGTACCTACATTTTCCAACTGAAAAGCCTATTGTTAGAGTCACATAAAAATATTAAGGGAGGAAGGAGGTAACTTTTTGTTCTAAGAAGAATTACATGCCTGTTGTATTTATTCAGTGGAGAAAGTAGACAACAGAGAACTCCAAGTTCATGGGGCTTATGTGTTTCATAAATGTGAGACAGGGCCCTGCATCTTTACAGAATCTTGGCATTTAGCTTGCATTAAGTATTTGCTCCTGAGTGAGACCAATTTCTTATTTTAGGACATTTAATGATAAGAGAACACACTGAATGCAGAAGAATGGAGTAACTCATTCTAATCCACAATTACTGTTTACATCCAATATGGTGAACCCACCTCTCTGATTCAATGCAATTAATAATTATCCCCATGACTGATGTTAAACAAAACGGTGGCACCTCAGGAGTGAATTAAATAGGAGGGGCATTTCAGTTATAAAGCTGACATTCACCTTTCATGGATAAGGAGCAAGATATGACAAAATCATTTCATTTCTTTATGTTTTATTGGAGAGTTTTTGTTTAACTCCTGAAGTCAAAAACATTTAGAAACTTTTAACAATGTCTTAGAAAAAAGGCCACGACTTCTGTCAAGCTTGTCTAGTTGAAATGGATGACAAAGTAAACAGAAATAAGGTTTTTATCTGTAAAGAATTTTCTTGGCCAGTCACAGTGGCTCATGCCTGTTATCCCAACACTTTGGGAGGCTGAGGTGGGAGAGTCACTTGAGCCCTGGATTTAGAGACCAACCTGGCAACATGACACAACATTGTCTCTACAAAAAATACAAAAATTGGCCAGGCACAGTGGTGTGTGCCTGTAGTCCCAGCTATTCAGGAGGCTGAGATGGGAGGACTGCTTGAGCCCAGGAGGCTGAGGCTGCAGTGAGCCTTGATCACACTACTGCACGTCAGCTTGTCTCAGAAAAAAAGAAACAATTTTCTCTATTCTAGTCTCGCAGCTGCCCCATACAATAGACAGGATGGCATTTTCTAGACCTAAGTTGAGGGACCAATTCCACATTCCATGCTAGTGAAGTGAAGCCCTCAGCAGTGGCTCCCTCACACCGTGCCAACTTATCCCTAGGAAGAACACAAAAGTATTGTCATTAGTAGAAATGAAAATATAGTCCCTTACAGAGCTAAGCTGAGAAAAGTTAGTTAGTTCTTGCTAGGTTGAAGCTTGTTAGGTGAAGAGCATCTTTTTTTTTTTTTTTTTTTTTTTTTCAAAATCAGATGACATATTCTCTTACTTCTAATAAATAAAGATTCATTTATACTTGTCAATCAGTTAGAAGAAAGCCACAATTCTGAGTGATCAGAAAAAGTCCATACCAAAGGGCTGTCTGCTTTTCCACCTTCTAGGGTTACTTCCAAATTAGAAAGCGCTGCTTCTATTTCATCAACCTCGGACTCGTTTGTAAAATCCTGTATTTCAGCAGACAATGACAGTTTGCTAATGTGGTACTGAAATGAAAGCAGAGGTTTTAGAAATGTTACAAACAGAAATGTTATAAAACATTATACAATGAAGCCATTAGCCATTTTTTTTCTTTGAGGACTATTCCCTCGGAATACTGAACATCTCCTAAAAGGAGGTCTCTTTCCCATGCAGGGAAAATGACATTTTAACCTGATAATTCTGAGGTTCATGGTTAGTCATGTTCACAAGTAGTTCTTTCTCATCACTGATTGTGCTTACTGTAGGGAAGAGATAATAATTGCAAGACTAGTGTCTTACATGGGATGTGAGCATGTGTGGATTATGAGGAGCATTTTAAATTAAAAATTTGTTCTTGTCTGAAGAAGAAAGCAAGATTAAAAAAACAATAAAAAATACAAAAAAACTGCTCCCCTTATTTTCAGCTATTTCTTCAAAGAATAATACATTTAAAAAAAAAACTAGTATGAAGCATATGAAACTTTAAGCAGAACAAACTTGGTTTGTCACCTTCCGGAGAAAAGGTACTGAAGTTCCCATACCTGTAGAGCTGCAAAGATCAACATTTCTTCCTCTGTGCAATCAATTTCTTCTAAGAGAATGGCCCACCTGGCTTGTTCATAGAGTTGGTTTATTCGGACAGCATCATACTAGAGACAAAAACAGAGGTATGTGTGTAATGAGATATATTTATATCCTACAGTACAAAAATTCTGAAAAAACTGAGGCCATTCTCTGTTAATCAGATGCAACAAACTTCAGGTAACTGAAAGGAGTATTTCCACTGTGCCACTTCCTCAGCCCTCTTTCTTAAAGTTTTTTTTTTTTTTTTTTGAGACAGGGTCTCACTCTGTCACCTAGGCTGGCGTGCAGTGATGCAATCTCGGGTCACTGCATCCTCCACCTCCTGGGTTCATGCAATTTTTGTGCCCCAGCCTCCCAAGTAGCTGGGACTACAGGTGTGCACCACCACCCCTGGCTAATGTTTATATTTTTTGTACAGACAGGGTTTCACCATGTTGCTAGGCTGGTCTTGAACTCCTGTGCTCAAACGATCCACTCACCTCAGCCTCCCAAAGTGCTGGGTTTACAGGCGTGAGCCACTATGCCGGGCCTCTCCAGCCCATTTTACTTCTAAATTCAGAACTAACTTTCTCCAAATACTTTCCATAGCTGCTGCTGCTTCCTCATAACCCAACTTTGATTCCATTATCCTCTTTCTTTTTTATTACCACATATTGGTAGTAAATAGATAGTAAAAATGGCTTACATAATAGGAGAAACACCTAATGTAGATGATGGGGTGATGTATGCAGCAAACCACCATAGCACGTGCATATCTATGTAACCTGCACGTTCTACACATGTACCCCAGAACTTAAAGTATAATTTTTTAAAAAACCAGTGTAATAGAATAGATCCCTAAGCTGCTCTGCAAGTTCAGTGCAATCCCAAGCAGAATCTGGTAGGAATTTTTTTTTTTTTTTTTTTGAGACGGAGTTTCGCTCTCGTTGCTCAGGCTGGAGTGCAATGGCGCGATCTCGGCTCACCGCAACCTCCGCCTCCTGGGTTCAGGCAATTCTCCTGCCTCAGCCTCCTGAGTAGCTGGGATTACAGGCACACGCCACCATGCCCAGCTAATTTTTGTATTTTTAGTAGAGACGGGGTTTCACCATGTTGACCAGGATGGTCTCGATCTCTTGACCTCGTGATCCACCCACCTCGGCCTCCCAAAGTGCTGGGATTACAGGCTTGAGCCACCGCGCCCGGCAGGAATTTTTAAATGAAACTTTATACAAGCCAATTCTCAAGTTAAGTTGGAAGACACAATGATCAAATATTGCCAAGAAATTGAAAATGAACAATGTTGAGTAAAGCACTTGTTTTCCCAGACATTAAAACCTATTATAAAGCTGCAATAATTAAAATGGTATATGGTACATTGATAAAGTGTCAATAAAGCCTTATTTAGAAAGACTTGTGTATGTATATAAATTAATATAAAACATCACATTTTATATAAAACATAAAATATAAATTTTATATTAAAATATAAAAATAACATTTTATATCAGCAGGGGAAGAAAGAATTCAATACTATAAACAGTGTTGAAAATGCCTAGCCTCTTGGGGAACAAAAATCAAAACAAAAAAATAACTTTACACTATCCAAAAATATAAATTACATATGGATTAAATAATTTAAACATATAAAACCACAATCAGAAATGAATTCACTCCCACCAGAATGGCTCTTATCTAAAAGACAGGTAATAACCAGTGTTGGTGAGGATGTGGAGAAATTGGAACCCCTGTGCACAGCTAGGTGTAAAATGATGCAGCTTCTGAAGAAAAGTTTGTCAGTTCTTTAAAAAGTTAAACATAGAGGCCGGGTGCGGTGGCTCAAGCCTGTAATCCCAGCACTTTGGGAGGCCGAGGCGGGTGGATCACGAGGTCAAGAGATTGAGACCATCCTGGTCAACATGGTGAAACCCCGTCTCTACTAGAAATACAAAAAATTAGCTGGGCATGGTGGCGCGTGCCTATAATCCCAGCTACTCAGGAGGCTGAGGCAGGAGAATTGCCTGAACCCAGGAGGCGGAGGTTGTGGTGAGCCAAGATCGTGCCATTGCACTGCAGCCTGGGTAACAAGAGCGAAAACTCCGTCTCTAAAAAAAAAAAAAAAAAAAAAAGTTAAATATAGAATAGGATCCAGCAGCTGGTTGTGGTGGCTCACACCTGTAATCCCAGTACTTTGAGAGGCTGAGGTGGGTGGATCACCTGAGGTCAGGGGTTCGAGACCAGCCTGACCAATATGGTGAAACCCCATCTTTAAAAAAAAAAAAGAGAGAAAGAATAGGATCCAGCAATCCTACTCCGAGATGCATACCCAAACAAACAGAAAGCAGCATCCAAACAGTACTTGTACAACAATGTTTACAGCAACAATATTCATAATAGCCAAATGGTAGAAAGAGCACAGATGTCCATCAACAGCTGAATGGATAAATAAAATATGCTGTATACATACAATGGAACACTATTCAGCCTTAAAAAAGAATGGAATTCTGGCTGGGCGTGGTGGCTCACACTTGTAATCCCAGCACTTTGGAAAGCAGAGGTGGGCAGATCACTTGAGGTCATGAGTTTGAGACAAGCTTGGCCAACACGGTGAAACCCTATCTCTATTAAAAATACAAAAATTAGCCGAGGATGGTGGCAGGCACATGTAATCTCAGCTACTCGGGAGTCTGAGGTGGGAGAATCACTTGAACCTGGGAGGCAGAGGTTGCAGTGAGCTGAGATTGCACCACTGCACTTCAGTCTGGACAACAAGAGTGAGACTCTGTCTCAAAAACAAACAAAAAAAGGAAATGAAATTCTGATACATGATACAATATGAATGAAGCTTGATGATACTATGCTAAGTGAAATAAGCCAAATACAAAAGGACAAATACTGTATGACTTCATTTATATGAACTATCTAGAATAGGTAAATTAACAGAGACAGAAAGTAGAATAGAGGTTACCAGGGACAAGGGAGAGGAAATAATGGAGATTTACTGTTTAATGGGCACAGTTTCTTTTTGGGATGCTTTGCAAATGGACAGTGGCCCAGCCTGGGCAACATATCAAGATAGCAAGACTCTTGTCTCTATTTTTTAAAAAAGTGGAGCATGCTGATAGTCCCAGCTACTTGGGAGGCTGAGGCAGGAGGATTGCTTAAGGCCAGGAATTCAAGACCAGCCTAGACAACATGAAGAGTCCCTGTTTCTACAAAAACAAACAAAAAAAATTATCCAGGCATGGTGGCATGTTCAGCACATTTGTGTCCTGATAAACTAGTTTAGCCTTTCCTTTGATTATGTTTCAGTGGTTAAAAAAAGTGAGTCTGACTTATTTATACTGACATGAAAGATAGCCAAGAAATACTAAGAAGTAAAAAGAAGCAAGCAACAGAGCAAACAAATGATCCTATTTATCTAGAGAACACAAAGTCTTGAAAATCTACTCAAAAATACGTTTGCAAATATGTGTAAAAAAGTCTGCAAAGATGGTTGGTCACGAAGCTGTTAACCGTGGCTGCCTCTTAGGAGAATGGTCTGTTTTCCATTTTTACTCTGAATCATTTCTTTCTTATTATGTTTGATTTTTATTTTTAAAATTTTTATTTATTTATTTTGAGATGGAGTCTTACTCTGTTGCCCAGGCTGGGGTGCAATAGTGCGATCTCAGCTCACTGCAACCTCTGCTGCCCGGGCTCAAGCGATTCTACTGCCTCAGCCTCCCAAGTAGCTGGGACTGCAGGTGCCTGCCCACCATACCTGGCTAATTTTTTGTATTTTCAGTAGAGATGAGGTTTTGCCATGTTGGCCAAGCTGGTTTCAAACTCCTGACCTCAAGTGATCTGCCCGCTTTGGCCTCCCAAAGTGCTGGGATTACAGACGTAAGCCACGATGCCTGGCTGGAAATGTTTTTAAAACTGGATTGAGGTGATGGTTATGTATCTGTATAAACTGACCAAAAATCATTGTAGACCAAAAATTCACCTAATGAGTGAATTTTATGTTATGTAAATTATAGTGCAATCAAAACATAACAACTAAAAAACCACATTCCAAAAAAACCACGCAGCCAATCTCTCCCCAAAAGACCCCTGCTGTAATTCAGTTTACAGATGGAATCTAAATAGTATGTGCAGCCACTGAAATTTGAATGGAATTAACACACCGTCATATCCAGCTGTATGTGCGTCAGCCACTCAGTCCCAGTGTTTACAACGCTAATGCTGCAGGAGTCTCAGTGGGAAGTTAAGTTACTCTGTAAGGCTTCTCTCAATGCAGTGAATAAAAACTTAAACAATTTAATAAAATCTTCCATACCTGAACATCCTAACACCCTGCTACATGCCAAATAAAACAATTCTTTGAAAGAACATGAATTAAATAAAAGTTACCTACATTTACAGAAAAACAGGGTCTGGGATAAAATGTCTTAACTAGCTACGAGATGAGCTCTTTCTCTTGCCAAGTAACACAGGACTTTTCTGATGCATCCAGCAAAGCTCTGGAGTTTCCTTTCTGGAGGTCTGTTCCCATTTCTCCAGAGACAAGGCTGCATCCCAAGGTTCCAGATCTTTCACAGGTCATTAACGGGCATCCTTATAGGACTTCCCCTACCCCACCTCCTGGCCCTGAGAACTCTTTCAGTGGATTCTCCAGTGACTAGAAACAAACTGTTTCCTTGGTGGGGTTGGCTATGCATACCCTCTCCTTGGTCCTTTTCTTTGCTGAATTGAAAATAGAGCAGGGTACAGTGGCTCAGGTCTGTAATCCCAGCATTTTGAAAGGCTGAGGCTGGAGGATCACTTGAGGTCAGGAGTTCGAGACCAGCCTGGCCAACATGGTGAAATCCCATCTCTACTAAAAATACAAAAATTAGCCAGGTGTGGCGGTGGGTGCCTGTAGTCCCAGCTACTTGGGAGACTTAGGCAGGAGAATCGTTTGAACCCAGGAGGCAGAGGTTGCAGTGAGCCAAGAATGTGCCACTGCACCCCAGCCTGGGCAACAGAGTGAAACTGTGTCTCAAACAACAATAACAACAAAAAAAAAAAAAAAAAAAAAAAGAAAAAAAAGAAGAAAAGAAAACAGAACCCCCAAGCTGGAACCACATGGATTCTGCTGCCTCTTCACTCCTTGAATCCCTGTTTCTGCCTGTCTAGTTGGTTCAGTAAACCCTCCACCCTCCTCCTTCATTCCACCAAACAACAAGAAAAGCAAATAACAAAACGTACCTATCATAGTTTTCCTGCTCTTTCTTAAGAAGGGGTTACTATTTAGATCTAATTACTTAAGATTTCCTATTAGCTCGGGAGCAGCTTTCAGTATCCTCCAGGACTCTTATTAAAACAGATATGCTTTTCCTGTACTAAACACTAAAATACTATGAACGATCAGAGTTATAAAATGTGTGTTTTTTTAATTCACACATTCCGAACACATTTAAAAAGGGGCAAAAGAGTATATGATAAATGAATCCATTTATGAATGGACTCAAAAGGGACAAAAGAGTATTCAATTGAAAAGTCAGTCCCCCTTTCTACCTTGTCCCCCAGAAATGGTAGCCTCTCTGTGAGGTGTTTTGCATCTTTTAATAATATACCTGGAATCTGTCTCATATCAAAAAAGAATAGATTCATTCTTTTAAAAAACATGGTATGAATGTATCATTATGTATTTAACCAGTTCTCTAGCGATGGACATTTAGGTGGTTTCCAGTCCTTTCCTAAAACAAATAATATAATAACTGTCTTTATATACACACATGTCAGTTTGCATGTGTGAGTGTAACTGTGCTATAAATACCTAGGTAGGAGTGGATTGGCTGAATCAAAGCTATGCTGAATTACTGCCAAATTGCCTTCTATAAACTAATTGTACTTTGACCTACAGGCAGTATATGAGAGAGCCCATTTCCTGACACTCTTGCCAAGATAGTATGTGAAATTTTTGATCTTTGCCACTATAAAGCATTGTAGTTGCTTTTCTATGAACAATATGTTTACATCCTTTGCCCACTAGGCTACTAGGTTGTTGGTCTTCTTATTATTGATTTTTAGGAGCTCTTTACGTATTAGAGAAATTAGTCTTTTGTTTGTAGTATGTGTTGTAAAGTTTTTTGCCAGGTGTAAAATTTTCATTTTTTGAGTCTATTATTATTTTATATATTTAGTTTTTGAGACAGAGTTTTGCTTTTGTTGCCCAGGCTGTAGTACAATGGTGCAAACTTGGCTCACTGCCACCTCTGCCTCCTGGGTTCAAGTGATTCTTCTGCTTTAGCCTCCCAAGTAGCTGGGATTACAGGCGCATACCACCACACCTGGTTAACTTTTGTATTTTTAGTAGAGACAGGGTTTCACTATCTTGGCCAAGCTGCTCTTGAACTTCTAACGTCAGTGATCTGCCTGCTTCGGCCTCCCAAAGTGCTGCAATTACAGGCATGAGCCACTGTGCCCGCAGGAGTCTATTATTTTTGAAATGTTAAATTCTAGCATTTTATATATCTGAGATTTTAATCAGTACCTGTTACTAAGGACCTGTGGCCAGTATGAATCTCTCCTCTGAAAGTGAGAGCAGCTCCTTAGTCCTTATTGGAGATTTTAGTTCCTACTTATAGGGTGCCTTGTAAATTTGCAGTGGCTTCACGGGTGCTCTCTCCTTTTCTTAGAGTTGATTATAGCTGCCACAAGAACACAAACTACATCTTTTTTTTTTTTTTTTTCTTTGTCTCTGTCGCCCAGGCTGGAGTGCAACGGTGTGATCTGGACTCACCACAACCTCTGCCTCCCAGGTTCAAGTGATTCTCCTGCCTCAGCCTCCTGAGTAGCTGGGATTACAGGCATGTGCCAGCATGCCCAGACAAGGTTTCTCCATGTTGGTCAGTCTGATTTCAAACTCTTAACCTCAGGTGATCCACCCGCTTTGGCCTCCCAAAGTGCTGAGATTATAAGCATGAGCCACTGTGTCTGGCCTACATCATACATTTCTATATCCCCCTATATTTTTGCAGCACAGAGTAGGAGTCTTAAACTTGATTTTATTTCTAATTTTAAGAGGGGAGGGGAGGGAGCGCTGCCATAGGTAGTGAAGTGGCTGAGGATCACTGTGTGCCCCAAAGCCATGTCCTGCTATCCCGAGTCTTCCTGTCACCTTTGGGTTGACAGGTTCCGTGTGTGGCTGTCAGATTCAAATAGCTTGGACTTCTTAGGCTTCGAAGAGGGAGCTCCTCACCAATTAAGCAAGCAGAGGCTGGAGGCCAAAGAGCCTGAGACAACAGCCCTTGTGACCCTCAGCTTCAGCGTCCTTGTCCCCTTCTGGAGTATGATTCATTTTCTTTCTTCCACTTTTTAGACAAATACATATTTAACCCTACTCCTCTCTATTGATACCAATGATCTGCCATTATCTGGCTTATTTGACTGTGAAGTCACTTACATGTTCTTGACGTTTTTTCAAGGGGCAGATGACTGAGCTGCATTCTTTCTGGCTTAAGCTCAGTTCTGAAGCAGGAAATTGAATGGGGGAGTCTCTTGGCAAAGAAACTGCTGGAAGGGTCCCCAAGGACTGAGTAATCCTATCATCGATCAGGTGCCTAAAGTGGGAAAGCCTGACTCACAGCATGTGGGGTGGGGGGGCAAAGGAAGTACCAGATGTGGTCTCTGTCTCCAAGGACTTGGATCTCTATTTGTAGGAAAAAATTCCAGATGTGGAGTGATTAGAGGTGTGAGTCCTGAAATTGTGCAGTACTCAGCTGTGGCTCAGAGAAGGCAAAGTCCCATGTGACCAAAAGTAGAAAAAAGCTTCTTTCTAGAAAGAGTGGAACCCGAATGTGGTCTCAGTGCAGGTGTTTTGAATCTGGGGATCTTGGACTTGGGAGTTGGATTACCAGGTGGTCCACAAGCTTGTATGAGGAAACACAACCTCTCCATTTGCACCGACTTCTAATGGAAATTTAGCATTTCCTCTCATGGTGAGCATGAGCCATGAGCCACAACACTGCAGAGTACTTGTCACTCTGTGACCACCAGAACCAAGACTTTTTCCCTTCTGTATGTCAGTTGTTGCTGCTGTCTTCAAGTAATGCTCACCCACCTCACTACTTTGAAATTATGGTAGTTATGAGAACTGGCATCAGATCTTATTCATTCAATTAACTACAAATATATTACTATATACATTTTGGAAAAGGGTTTGGTCACTACAGTTCATTATAACTGTTTCATTTTGTAATCCTATGTGTCTTATTAATTGGAAAACATTATTTTAATATACAACAGTTTTGAGTTCTCAGTACCCAACTTACTTCTTGGCCTACAGTAGTTGTTCAATAAATAAACATATAAACAAACAACAGATGGGGCACAGATTTGAAGACATAAGATGGGACCAAATTATTGACTTAGCAATTAGAAAATACATGGGCATATTTTATTTACATGTTATCTATTTTCAGAAAAAAATGTAAGGCAGCTTATTAGAACAGACATCATACAACAAGATAGCTTAAATTAAGAGTTAAGCAGGGAAAGACTAAAGTTGAGCCATGAATGAGGCTTAAAAATAAAATAAAAAAGTATGGCTTTGGTTTTAGCAGACAATGCAAAAACAAAAACAAAAACAAAAAACCGTGGACAGTTGCATAATTCACAGTACAGTTAAAAAAAAAAAAAAAGCTAAGCTAACTGTATAGGAGAAGAAGTACAGTAATTTCTCCTGAAGATTTTATCGAAGAAAAGCTAAAATCTGCCCTTTTGCCATGGTTCACGTACGCATTCCAGATACAAGCTTGGTCCTTGGGATAAAAATCAAGGACTGAGCAGGAACCTCTCCTTAGAAATGACAAGGAACAAGGTTGGTTCTGAAGATGCCAGTTGGGGAAACAGTGGAAGCTGAGGTCACCCTTTGCAGACCAGACCTAAAATCAGAACCAAGGAGAAGAGGTAGAAACACTGCTGTAGAGGAAAGGGTCTGTACAGAAAGGCTGACCAAGGCAAGGTCCCCCAGGTGCCTGGCAGTAAATGGAAAAGAGCAACAACACACACAAAACAGTGATGGGAACATGGAACACAGTGACCCTGCGCGCTCAGAGGGGCAGTCATCCAGTTTACATCATTGACCTTGGGCCATTGTACCGCTGACTCTCAGCTCTACAAACCAGCGCATCAGGAACAAGGAAGAGGCAGAAGTTCAAAGGACTTACCTCACTCATTCGTTATCCTGATAGACTTTAGGTGGGAGATGTGCAGTGAAAATGGAGTTGATGACCATCTGGGTGACCCGCTGAGAAAAAGGGATTACATGGATGATCCCTTTCCCTCAATTCCAAAGAGTAGGCACTGGAGTGTGGACCCTGTGTGTACCATCATGTGGTCCTAGCTTGTTCACGGGAAGCTGCCTTTAACCCTGACCTCTGACAGCTCCTTTCCTTCCTCAGCATTAAGAACTCCAGCTCTGTGAGCCGCTCTTGTCTTGTCTGACCATTCCAGCGAATGGAGAGGGGGCAGTGCATGGCCATGCTAGGCACTAAGATCCCTAGAGACTCCAGCTAACTCACTAGCAGCTTACCATGCTCAGTAGAAACCAAAGGATAAAAATTCAGAGACCAGGGTCCATGTATCACTTTAACCCAACAGGGCTAAACAGGCGATCACACAGATAAATACATCCTCATTTTCATAACAAATGCCTCAACTTGATACTTCCATGCATTCATATTAAAAAGACAGAACAGAGAAAAAGTTTCTTACTTTAGGATTCAAGTCGAAGAAAGAGTAGTATTTAAATCGTAACAGCAGCTGCTCATCCTCGTGGATGCCTTGTTCCATAAGGGAGCGTGAGGAGTCCAGCCAACTGGAAAACAATAGTGTGAGTTTTAGAAGCCAATCAATTTCACATATATCCATTATATTATTATGTTATGTATTAAATATTACATATATATCCTTAAACAAAATCAGGGTCATACAGATTGAGTAGCCCTAATTTGAAAACCTGAAATGCTCCAAAATCTGACACTTTCTGAGCGCTGACCTGATGCTCAAAAGAAATGCTCACTGAAGTAGTTTTTTCTCTTTTTTTTTTTTTTGAACCGTAGTCTTGCTCTGTCGCCCAGGCTGGAGTGCAGTAGTGTGATGTTGGTTCACTGCAGCCTCTGCCTTCTGGGTTTAAGTGATTCTCCTGCCTAAGCCTCTTGAGTAACTGGGACTATGGATGTGTGCCACCATGCCCAGGTAAGTTTTGCATTTTTAGTACAGAGGGGGTTTTTCCATGATGGCTAGTCAAGGCTAGCTTGAACTCCTGACTTCAGGTGATCTGCCTCCCTTGGCCTCCCAAAGTGCTGGGATTATAGGCTGGGTCATTGCGTCCCTCGCTGAAGCATTTTGAATTTCAGAATTTTGGATTAGGGATGCTCAGTTGGTGAGTATAATGCAAATATCCCCAAATTCTGAAAAAAAATATTAAAAAAATTCCCAAATCCTGCCGGGCGCGGTGGCTCAAGCCACTTTGGGAGGCTGAGGTGCATGGATCACGAGGTCAAGAGATCGAGACCATCCTGGTCAACATGATGAAACCCCGTCTCTACTAAAAATACAAAAAATTAGCTGGGCATGGTGGCGTGTGCCTGTAATCTCAGCTACTCAGGAGGCTGAGGCAGGAGAATTGCTTGAACCCAGGAGGCGGAGGTTGTGGTGAGCCGAGATCATGCCATTGCACTCCAGCCTGGGTAACAAGAGTGAAACTCCGTCTCAAAAAAAAAAAAAAAAAAAAAAAAAATTCCCAAATCCAAAACACTTCTGGTCTCAAGCATTTTGCATAAGGAGTACTCAACCTGCATAGCCAAAAACCAGTAAGCATATAATAATAGCTTATATTTGCATTTTATCTTATAGTTTTCAAAGTGCTTTATAGATTTTTTTCTCATGGATACTCTAAAGTAATCCAATAAAGAGGCCAGGGCAGTTCTCATTATCTCATCTTTGCAGACGAAGAGACACAGTCTGAATGACATTAGATCATCCTTAAGGGTCACAGGCCTTGGCTGGGCATGGTGGCTCACACCTGTAATCCCAGTACTTTGGGAGGTCAAGGCTGGCAAATCACCTGAGGTCAGGAGTTCGAGACCAGCCTGGGCAACATGCTGAAACCCTGTCTCTACTAAAAATGCAAAAATCAGCTGGGCGTGTGGCAACTGCTTGTAATCTCAGCTACTTGGGAGGCTGAGGCTGGCAGGAGAATCGCTGGAATCCAGGAGGTGGAAACTGCAGTGAGCCATGATTGTGCCATTGCACTCCAGCCTGGATGACAGTGTCAAAAAAAAAAAAAAAAAAAAAAAAAAAAAAAAAAGGCACAGGCCTGGTTACGGGGCCAGCTTGAGAATCCGTATGTCCTGGGTGCCCACACCACTTCTCCTTTTACCAGATGGTTTGCCCCAATGCCAGCTCTGTGTCACTGTCTAGACCTTTCTGCAATGAGAGAAATATTCGTATCTGTGCTGTATGATGCATTAGCCCCAGCTGAATGTGGCTGTTAGTACCTCATTTTAATTTTAATTAATTAAAAATCCAATCTACATTTAAATATCCACATGTGGCTAGGGGTTCCTGTACTATAATACATGGTGGAGTTCTAGAGTTCAGAAATAAAAACTGGGAAATGGTGAGGGGTGGAGGAATGGAGATTAAAAGTTAACAAAATAAGAGAGGAATGAGTGTACTTCAATACCGCTGAATAACAATGACTTGAACTTCCATTATGTTAGGCCCTGGAGGGCAAAGAGAATGACCAACATGAAATCACCATCCTAAAGGAGCTGACAGTCTGCTGGGGGAGACCAAGCCTCATAAGAAAGGGACAATGTGATGTTAGAGTGAGCAAAGTGTCAGGACAGAGTTATGAGGAGGAGGGCGATCTTGAAGGTCGTCCTTGAGCAGGAGACAGCATGTGGCTGGGCCTTAAAGAACAGGCAGGGACTGACCAGTTGGTAAAGGGGTGTTATATGTAAAATTTTTCTTTTTGGTGCCACAGAGAAAAATTAGTACTGGCACCAAGGATTTTTTAGCAAAGCATTTTTTTTTTTTTTTGCTTCCTGCAGAAAGGGTACTCCTGTCGGCAATTTTGCCACGAGAGTACAACGAACAAAGGAAAGCAGACATATTTATTTTTTTTACACATTTGGGGTTGCTTTTACTGCTGTGTTTGATTTCCATTGGCTGGAGCCAGACTTCACAATTTAAAACTTGATTGGCTAATAACTTGAAACTTTTTTTAAACAGGTAAAAGCAATGGAGAGCAAAAAAAGAAAATCCAAATAAGGAAGGGGCAGAGGCTGCAGGCTGGGACATGCCTGTGAGCACATCCAGCACAGACATTTTGGACATACAAGGACATAGAATGTACTACGTGCCTGTAAGCATGTCTAATGCTACATAGGATAGGGCTTTTAGCAAAAAGCAAGAAGGCTTTTGAAGAAAGTGTTTAAAACAAACTCTTATTCTTAACACTTACATATTTTTTTAAACAAGAAAGGAAACTTTGAAGAGGAATTTTTCTACTTCGCACAAAGGGAATTGGCCTGCAGGTGAGATAGTGACAGAAAGAGTGAGTGTGCACCTGGTGGCATGGGGTGGTAAGAGCGTGGGAGGATGTGGAGACACTTGCTGGGGCCAGCTCTTCTAGGGAGTTGAATGCTGTTGCCAAGTTTGACTTTATCTGGTAGGTAATAGGGAACAATGGAAATGATAGCTTCAGAAATAGTCTGGGTATATTTTCTGAGACCATTTCGAACAGAGCTCAATGACTTGCTCATTAGAATGCCTAAAGAGAAGAGTGGCATTCTACAAAAGACAGTGTAAGCCTGCAGGGCCACCTGGGATCTCCCCCACTGACCCCTGGGGACAACACACTTACTAACTCCCCTGCATCCCCATAAAATATGCTTTCCATATCTGCAGTGGCAAAGAATTGGTATTCACAGATAGTACATCTATTGCGTTAGCCAAACACGTAGATTTAGACACACGTTAAATATACTGAAATGACCAAAGACTGAATTTTTCCCCTTTGTTACTAAAATCAGCACTGACTTTTGCAAATAAAGTACAATTGCTAGGCCTACCAACTTGAAAATGAAACACGGCCTCCCCCACCCCAATCTCTTACTATGTTGGCACTAGCTCAGGGAGAAGTCAAAGGAGCCATGTCCTTACCCTGCATTGAGCTTGGCTTTATCAATCAGAGACCGAGGCTGGTACATATCCGCAAGTGCTTCTGGGGACTGCAGGGGTTGGCTGAATGCAAGGATGCTGCAGTTTTGCTCCGTCAAAGGGCTGTCACTGAACCAAGTCATGGTGGACGATGCTGGTGTTCCATTGATGGGGTCATATATAGGGGTCATGGTTTTACTGTATAAACCAGGACTTGCTGCAAGGCAAGGGGAGCATGAACTATGATATGAGAATCCAGGGATAGAAATCTTCAGGAAAATATTAACATTACTTACACTAAAATGAGTTTTAACTTTCAATGTTGGCACCATTTAAAATAATATAAGTCAAGCTGGGCACTGTGGCCCACGTCTGTAATCCGAGCTACTTGGGAAGCTAAAGTTGGAGGATTGCTTGAGCCTAGGAGTTTGAGACCAGCCAAGGAAACATAGCAAGACTTCACCTCAAAAAACAAAAAAAAAGGCCGGGCATGGTGGCTCACGCCTGTAACCCAGCACTTTAGGAGACTGAGGCAGGTGGATTACTTGAAGTAGGGAGTTCAAGACTAGCCTGACCAACATGGAGAAGCCCCCATCTCTACTAAAAATACAAAATTAGCCAGGCTTGGTGGCACATGCTTGTAATCCCAGCTACTTGGGAGGCTGAGGCAGGAAACTTGCTTGAACCCAGGAAGATGGAGGTTGTGGTGAGCTGAGATCATGCTATTGCACTCCAGCTTGAGCAACAAGAGTGAAACTCCGTCTCAAAACCACACACACACACACACAAACAAAACAAAATAAGATAATATGGATCACGATGGTAGAGAGATTAGTAATAGACAAGTAATAGTCTTATCTGTAAATTCAGCTCATTAAAACCCTTGGAACTCAAATAAGCTTCCAAAAATCAACACAGACAAACATTGGGGACCACTTATTTATTTTCTTTCTTTCTTCTTTCTTTCTTTCTTTCTTTCTTTCTTTCTTCTTTTTCTTTCTCTTTCTTTCTTTCTTCCTTTCTTTCTTTCTTTTCTTTTCTTTCTTTCTTCTTTTCTTTCTTTCTTTTTTTTTTGAGACAGAGTCTTACTCTGTTGCCCAGGCTGGATTGCATCCACCTCCTGGGTTCAAGTGATTCTTCTGCCTCAGCCTCCGGAGTAGCTGGGATTACAGGCACCTGCCACCACTTTCAGCCACTTATTTTTTTCTCTAAATATCACTCTTTATCCCAAATTTGTGGTTAGTGGTACTAAAATTTTGCATTCCTCAGCAACATCAGATATACAATTCAAATAATGAGTTATTAAGCATGCTTGTTGAAAAAAAAGAGTCTGAAACACATTTCTGTTAATTCTAAACTTAACTAGATAGCCTTTCCTATCACATCTGTTCTGCAATTTAATTTCTCCTTTGTTTGAAAGGGGTGGGAGGAGAGGTGTATTATCCTCTTGAATTTTACTCTACGTTCGAACAACAAAACACCTGTCACAAATCTTACCTGGTGAACCAGAAGCTGTTGGAGAACTCTCTAGGTTTAGAATATCTTCAATTACAGGTTCCTTATTATTTTTGTCTTTTTTCTTCTTCTTCTTAAAATAGTCACCAGAAGGCTTTAACAAGGAAAGCTCTTCTGATCTTCTAATATCTAGAAGTAATTAAAAAAAAAATGAAGAAAAAGAGAAAGTAAAAAGAAAAAGTCTTCTAAGACTCAGTCATTTTGTGCATTTGAAATCATTTCTCAGGAAATTTCTGAAAAGTAAATAGGACTAAACTGCATCCCTTTTGAAGAAATAGAAGGGGAAAGGGGAACCGAGACCTCCAAAGTAGGTTGGGAGAGAAAATAGTGGACGGAGATTCAGTCTAGTGAAATTTCTAGTTAAAAAAATTTATTATAAAAGTATTTCAAATGTATCTAAGGCAAAGGGAATGGTATAATGTCCCCTTCATGTGCTCCCTGCTTAGCTTCAGCCGTTATTAGCATTATGCTATTCTTGTTTCCTATTTACCACCAACTTTACCTCTCTCTCCTCTTTCTTTCTGATATGGTTTGGCTATGTCTCCACCCAAGTCTCATCTCGAATTCCCACATGTTGAGGGAGGGACCCAGTGGGAGGTAATTGAATCATGGGGTGGGTCTTTCCTGTGCTGTTCTCTGATACCGATTAAGTCTTATAAGATCTGTTGGTTTTTGTTGTTGTTTTTTTTTTTTTGTTTGAGACAGAGTGTCACTCTTGTTTACCAGGCTGTAATGCAGTAGCATGATTTTGGCTCACTGCAACCTCCGCCTTCCAATTTCAAGCAATTCTCCTGCCTCAGCCTCCCAAGTAGCTGAGATTACAGGTTCCTACCACCATGACCGGCTAATTTTTGCATTTTTAGTAGAGACTGGGTTTCATCATGTTGGCCAGGTTGGTCTCAAACTCCTGACCTTGTGATCTGCCCACCTCAGCCTCCCAAAGTGCTGGGATTACAGGCATGAGCCACCGTGCCTGGCTCATCTGATGGTTTTATAAGGATTTTCCCTGCACAACCTCTCTCTGCCTGCTGCCATGCATGTAAGATGTGACTTGCTCCTCCTCGCCTTCTGCCATGATTGTGAGGCCTCCCCAGCCATGTGGAAATGTAAGTCCATTAAACCTCTTTCTTTTGTAAATTATCCAGTCTTGGGTATGTCTTTATCAGCAGCACAAAAATGAACTAATACATTTCTCTTCCTTGCTCCCTCTCCCTTTCCTTTTTCCAGTTTTTTAAACCACCAACAAAGGTCCTGCTTCCTTTTTCTTTACAGATCACAGACCTTGAAAATATTTCTTTTATGCACTGCCCATCAGCTTATTTCATCCCTGTGGTGATGTCCTCATGCCCTGCCCATATCTTCTTGGTCCTCACCTGACTGCCGGTGGAATCTAGACCATGTGTCTTTCTGCCAGAGGCTTTGCTCTGACAGCTGGCCAGGGTCTGCACTGCCTACCTACACATGCAACAGCCCACACATTCAGGGAATGAATGTTCCCCAAGAGTGGCTTTTAGTGACGGTCCACAGTGCTGCATAAACATCCTTACCCTGAGGCTGTGTCTACACTCTCTCCCAGAAGTCACTAGCTGCTGAAGTGTAACTTGGTTGGTGACACTCTTCTTTTCTGTCTTACTTCCCCGTACCCAGCAGTATTTACTGGCATCACCTCCTAAATAAACTATTTGCATTTGAATCCTTATCTCAGGGTCTGCTTCTGGGAGCTGAAACTTTGATAATCTCCATTTTCCCCATTAATCAAATATGTTTATAATTGTTGATTAGAATTGCTGATAACCTTTAATTATACTAGTGGCTATCATTCCAGGTAAAAGCCAATTAATGTGGACTTTTAGTCTCTGGTCAGCTTTGTTGAAGGTCGGTGCACTGATTCCATTAGGTTCTCTCATCATTTCATTTATATACTGCCCAGTGTTGAGACTGAGCCTAGCAGTTTAGCTTGACTCTCCCCAGCAGCCAAAGACAGTCAGGTTGCAACACATCTGTGACCATTCCAAATGCATAATTTATACACAAAACCTGGTCATGAATAAAAAATTCCCCTGTGAATACTAAAAGCAAAACAACGAAACAGAAACACCTGTATCTTTAAGGCCAGTATTTGCATCTCTTCTATTCTTCAAGGAAAAAAACCACTAAACTGCTGAATTTTATTTCACTTCAATTGATAAGGTATAAAATGCAATGATTAGAAACACCAAGTTGAGCCTTTAAAACTACCACAAAGAGATAATCAGGAAAAGAGAACATCTGACTTCTTCTGTTTATTTGAAAGCTTTAAGTTTTTGGCCTCAACTATGATGTGTGCTTCTATAATCATTTACTTTGTTTTCAAATCTTCATTAGAATATTGCCAAAAAATAAGGTGCCCTCATTCTTGCCATTTGCACACCATGGACAAAACCGCAACTTACATTCTGTAATGAAAGGTTCCATTCATTTGTTCACTCAATGGTTATTGTGTGCTGGGCATTGTGACTGGAGTGAGGAATGCAGAGATGTTCAGGAAATGGTTTCTTCCCTCACTCCATTTCATATACCATACCAGCCCCCACTGCCCAACCCTGGCATTTCCAATCCTGCTGATAGGTTTTCTCTTTTTTTAAGTACTATCCATCCCATTTTAACCTCTTACATTCTTTTTTTATTTGTTACATTTGTATTTTAAAATTTGTTACATTTACATTTATTGGTTAGTGTCTGCCTCTGCCTGCTAAAATGCAAGCTCCAGGTGGGCAGGGATTTTAGCTCTGTATCACTGGTGTATCCCTAGCATTCACCACAATGCCTGGGATACAGTAGGTGCTCAATAAATATTTGCTGAATGAGTGAATAAAGTAGCTTATGGTTTAATGGAAAAAATAGATTACTCACTACATATTATCTATTCTGGGTTCAGATGTTGACTTTTGGTTTTGGAATCAATGAAAATGCCTATAATACTTTCAAAAAATATAAAATAAGAATACCTTCATGGTGTAGTTCCTTCCCTTTATGGAGTTTTATAAAGAAAAGAATGATTTGGGTAGCGTTGTCTTTATGACTGTTAAATTATAGGATACCAAATCTATAAGTAATTAGGTTTAAACTCACAATTAAGTATATTTTTATGCTTAATCACTCATAAGTGATTTTTATGAACAGTTATTTACTTGAGCCAGTTCTAAATGAAGCAATTAAGACTTTGCAACACCATTATCTCAAAAACAATTAAGATACATAACTTTATGGTGATTAAGTATTTAATACAATTCTTTTTTTTTAAATCTTAAATACTGTATAAAAATGTTTGAGTATAGCTTGGATAAATAAATTTGTGGGGGCAATCTTAATGATTTATCTTGTCTATTTACAAATCTCTTGTGCAATAGTTTTTTTTTTTTTTTTGAGACAGAGTCTCTCTTTGTCGCCCAGCCTAGAGTACCACGGCATGATCTCGGGTCACTGTAACCTCTGTCTCCTGGGTTAAATCAATTCTCCTGCCTCTACCTTCCAAGTATCTGAGACTATAAGCATGCGTTACCATGCCCAGCTAAGTTTTGTATTTTTGGTAGAGATGGATTTTTACCATGTTGGCCAGGATGGTCTTGATCTCTTGACCTCATGATCCACCTGCCTTGGCCTCCCAAAGTGCTGAGTTTACAGACATGAACCACTGCGCCTGGTCTGGAATAGTTTTAAGTTTTGTGGAGATATACCTGATTTATGCCAATAATGCTCCACTTGGCTTAACTACAATTAAATGGCTGCAATATCCAGAACTGGGCTTAAACGTGTACTTCCTAATAGGTGAATGTTCTCTAGCCCATTGCTTGAAGTAGGCAGAATGCACCCATAATTTTCCTGTCTTCCTTTGTAAGAGTCTAAAGGACACGGGCCCTTTCAGGGTACTCACTCAGGGTTTTGCAGATATCACTGACAGCTTTAAAAACCACAGCTGAGAAGCTGACTCGCAACCTCACCATCTTCAAATTCGGCAGGCGAAGGCGCAGCATTTTATGCTGAGGGGTGAAGAGAAGCTTTGCATCTGCCTGGACCCCATATTTGTCCAGGGTCCAGTGGGTTTTCAGAAGCCAGCAACGCTTCTGTTCCCACCAAAGAGCAAAGTCTGACCAGTCTTGAGATATGTCTGCAAAAATGAAAACACAATTAAGTAAAATGAGAGAGAGCCCAGCATGGAGGTTCCTGGAGCTGCAGAGTCAATTTCATTGTGTGCAAAAAAAGGAAACCAAAACTGATCTTCAGCTCCCCATCACCTTTTACAATTCTAGGCTCAATAACCCTTGGCTTCTTTCCAAAGTCTCCAGGGAAATAATAGGGACTGAAACTTACCATCATTTACATTTAAATACCGTGGAGGAAAAGAAATATAAAAATGTGTTCACAATGAACGCTAAAGTTCTCTGCTAAAATCTCTCTGTGCCAGGGCCCTTTCTCAGAAGGCCAACAGCACCTGACTGTGTTTAATCAAGATTATTTCTCTTAGAGAAATGTATCCTTATACCACTGTGGCACAAGGGAGTGTCAATAGGCCCCGAAGTCCACACAGAAGTACTGTACAACTGACATTTCATTCTTCTTAGTAATGTCCACCTCTTTATCAGTACCACCATATCCAAAGTGTTTAAACTGAAGTCAGGGTTAACATCTTTTCTCCCTCTCAATGTTAGTATTAATGTCAAATCTTTCCTCTCCTTTAACATTGGCATTAAAATAGAATCTTTTCCCCTCATCAATGTTGGAGTCAATTTTCAATCTTTTATTTTGCAAAATGAAGAGCTATCTGGATCTTTGTTTTCTTATTTTTCTTTAAATGTTTCTCTCCCTCTCTCTCTCTCTCTCTTTTTTTTTTTTTTTTTTTTTTTTGAGTCAGAGTCTTGCTCTGTTGCCCAGGCTAGAGTGCAGTGGTGTAATCTCAGCCCACCATAACCTCCACCTCCTGGGTTCAAGCAATTCTCCTGCTTCAGCCTCATGAGTAGCTGAGACTACGAACGTATGCCACCATGCCTGGCTAATTTTTGTATTTTTAGTAGAGACGAGGTTTCACTATGTTGGCCAGGCTGGTCTCGAACTCCTGACCTCGTGATCAACCTGCCTTGACCTCCCAAAGTGCTGGGATTACAGATGTGAGCCATCGCACCCAACCAGAAAACTCTCCTCTTAATGCTGTTAGTAGAAGCATAAACTGGCACAAGTATTTTGGAAAAACCTTATGAATCATCATTTTTTAATTTGAGCTATACCACCCAACAGAAATGATCACTGAAAGACAGGTGTTATAGCAGCTTTTTCTGTAAGTGCATGAGAATGGAAACACCCCAAATGTCTGTTAAGAGGTAAATGGATAAATAATTGTGGCATATTCATACAATGGAATCTTGTACAGCAATAAAAATGAACCGAAACAATAGGCAACAATATGGATAACTGTCACAGACATAATTTTGAGTGAAAGAAAGTCAATGTATAAGAGTATATCTTTTATAATCTCATTTGTATAAAGTTCAAAATCAGGCATATTATTCCTGTGGTGTTATTAGTCAGGATATTGGTTACCCTTGGTGACAGTGACTGGGAGAGGTCAAGGTATGGAGCTTGGGTGGGAAACAGGTGATGTTCTATTTCATGATCTGAGTGGTTACAAGACTTAGAGAACATTCATCGAACTGTTTAAGATAAGTGAACCCTTGTTTATAATAAGTGAACTTTTCTGTATGTATATTATATGTCAATAAGGACTTACTTGAAAAAAAAAAACTATCTTGCTAGAGTAAATGAAAAGCCAGCCTCCAAGGCCTTAAATAGAAGGTAAAATAAGCACAAAGAAAAGAGAATGTTATTAAATTCTACGTTGACAATGTTGACTCCTGATGTGAAGAATGTAACACTGAAGGTTTCTTTCCTTAAACAGGGAGAGTAGTAAGTGGTGGATAAGTGTTAAAAGACACTGTAGCACCAACTTATCACTAAACTATCAAGTATAAACAGAGAATTAACACAGCATTCAAATGCCAAGCTACCTAAAGCCACATTAGATGTCACTAGTGGAATGAGTCCCATCCCTTTTGAAGTCCAGCATTATACCTACTGGGAACTTTACTTGGCACCAAAAACTCAAGTGTTTTTTTTTTCTTTGAGACTGAGTCTTGCTCTTTCACACAGGCTGGAGTTGCAACGGCGGTTCACTGCAACCTTCACCTCCTGGGTTCAAATGATTCTCTTGCCTCAGGCTTCTGAGTACCTGGGATTACAGGCGCCTACCACCATGCCTGGCTAATTTTTATATTTTTAGTAGAGATGGGGTTTTGCCATGTTGGCCAGGCTGTTCTCGAACTCCTGACCTCAGGTGATCTGCCCACCTCAGCCTCCCAAAGGGCTGGGATTACAGGTGTGAGCCACAGCACCCAGCCTGGGCTCTTTATTTCTCTCTTTCCTCTGGGATGAGGGGTGGGGGATTGCTCTTCAGGCCATTACAAGATAGATGATCAGAAAAACCTAGACCAGCCATTAGCAGCGATGCAACAGACAAGGTTTCAAATACAGAGAAACCATAAAGCAAGAGTAACTTACTGATCTGTTCTACTAACTTGAGCATCACTCCCCCGACATGAAGGTCTCCAGACACTCGCAGTGTGACATCTTTCTGCTCTTCTTCATTGGGATTATCAACGCGAACCACAAGCTCCCAGGAGGCAGATGTAAAGTCAGTGGATGACAGCATTGTAGCAAATGCTGGTGTCTTCTGAACACAAAGGCAGACATAGATTGGAATGTGGGAAGGAAACGGGATGTGCCAGTAGACTTGGAGAACAAAATTTCTGTTTTTCGTTTTGTTTTTCATTTTAACCTCCTCTTCGAAAAACTCTGCAAAGTTTCTGATACTCCAGATATTAAATTCAGCATCTTGGCCGGGCGCGGTGGCTCAAGCCTGTAATCCCAGCACTTTGGGAGGCCTAGGCGGGTGGATCACGAGGTCAAGAGATCGAGACCATCCAGGTCAACATGGTGAAACCCCGTCTCTACTAAAAATACAAAAAATTAGCTGGGCATGTTGGCGCGTGCCTGTAGTCCCAGCTACTCAGGAGGCTGAGGCAGGAGAATTGCCTGAACCCAGGAGGCGGAGGTTGCGGTGAGCTGAGATCCCGCCATTGCACTCCAGCCTGGGTAACAAGAGCGAAACTCCGACTCAAAAAAAAAAAAAAATTCAGCATCTTAACTTTAAAGACAAAAAATTTTATAAAAATGGTCTCAAACTGTCTAAATTTATGTACTTCATTTTTCCATTCACCATTCATCCAAGACCATTTGGCTCTGTATTTTCTTTGTCCAACCAATGCTTCAATCTTCATTTCCTCTCTCTATTGACTGCTTTTGACCTTTTCTCAACTATTCTGGCAATGGGCAATCTTCCATGTTACCTTTTTAAAAAGTCGATTTTATTAAGGTATAATTTGCATGTAGTAAAATGCACAGATTTTAAATATACTACCGTTCAATACATTTTTTTGTATGCAAATTATACTTCAATAAAGTTGATGCTTAAGGGATGTCATTAAAATCTCTTATTTCTAATATCTTTAATACATGTATATTATTACATTCCTCCTACAAAAATTTATATTTTATAATAAAGCTCAAAAAATTTAAAAAGCCAAAATCCTATTTCAGTCATTGTAGTATATAGTTTCACCTTAAGTGCATATAAAGATATGAGTCATTAATAATTATTGCAATGTATTTGATTTACTTATTATTATTTTATATCATATTAAAATTGATTATATAAATGCACCAGTTAAGTTTTTGGTTACATCTTTGGCAAAAGACTTAAAAACAGGAGTAATGGATATAAAAAGCTTGCTCTTCAAGGTACAGATGGGCGTGTGAACTTCAAACCCATAGTTTTCCCCTAATTGGAGAAGCTAGCAAGAGAACGTTCACAACTGAAACATTTTGGGCGGTAACAGAAACACTAAAATCCAAAATCGGCAGAACTTGAACAAAACTTGAGATGTCAGTTCTCTCTTACTTTTAAACAGAAGTAAATAATGCTATGGCTCCTGGCTGTTTTAAACATTTAAAGTAAACATCATTTAAATGATAATGAGTCTTTTTCACTTTACTACGTAAAGCCAGCTTACGAGAAATCTGTGTTTTCATAAGGCCTATTTTTGAGAAACATTGATGCACTCAAACTCCTAAGAAAGGGCTCCTCTAACTGAGGATGTACACTAATCCCCCAGGGATCCTATTAAAATGCATATTCTATCAGCAGGTCCCGGGAGGAGCCATGCATTTCTTTCTTCTTCTTTTTTTTTTTTTTTTTGGAGACAGTGGATTGCTTTGTCACCCAAACTGGAGGTTGCTGTGATCTCGGCTCATGGCAACCTCCACCTCCTGGGTTCAAGCAATTCTCCTGCCTTAGCCTCCCGAGTAGCTGGGATTCCTAGATGCCACCACGCCCAGCTAACTTTTGTATTTTTAGTAGAGATGAGGTTTCACCATGTTGGCCAGGATGGTCTCGATCTCCTGACCTCATGAACTGCCCACCTCTGCCTCCCACAGTGCTGGGATTACAAGCATGAGCCACTGTGCTCTGCGGGGACATGCATTTCTTAACAGGCTCCAGATGTTGCTGGTTTGTGGCTATACTCAGTTCCTCCCTTCAACCTACAGTATTCAGATCAATATTAAGCCAGAAATGGAGGTAACATCTGAGGAACATAACTTTTAATGATAATTCAACAACCAGTGTTATATCTGTTCTGTGTGTTCACTTGAAACTGCTCATTTGTAAGCATAAGAGAATCTCAAAATATGTTACACAGATACATTTAATACTCCAAATGTGAACAGATTTGGGACAGATTTTATGGTTAGAATCAAAGTTAAGCATTCAGAAGTAGCTCCTTATGTTTTTATAGTCAGAAGCATGCAATGCATCTACGACCCATGCACAGAGGCCCACACAGAACCCTCTGCAGGAGGAGTGGTTTAGTCAGTGACTGCATTAGGCCTAACTGCTTCCTTCTGTCATCATCAGCTTCAGGTATCCTTTATCACCTACCGACTGGATGATGTGCTCTGTGTTAACTTCTGTCTTCTGTTAATCCCTTTTTCATCCTCCCAGCAAGCTCATTTAGAAATGAGTAAACTCAGGCTCAGAGAGATGAAGCAACTTGCCTGAGGTCACACAGCAAGTGAGATGCTGGCGCCAGATGGGAATCCAGGTCTTTCTTTCTAACTTCAAACTCTTATCCACCACACTGGGAAACCACTTTGATAATGTTGTAATGCCAAAATGAAAGAAAACTCCTTAAACTGCATGAACTGAATTCTCAGTTGCCTTTACTAAGCATTTCTATCAACATAAATCTTGCCCAATGAACAGACAAAAAAGATACCCCTTCATCGTCAACCTCATAACTTGGCATTGAACTACTCGACTTTAAGATCCTTACAATTTCTCAAATGCTATGATTGGTAAGTTTAGTTATTTAAAATGTTTTGGGGCCTGGCGCGGTGGCTCATGCCTGTAATCCCAGCACTTTGGGAGGCTGAGGTGGGCGGATCGCAAGGTCAGGAGTTCGAGACCATCCTGGCCAACATGGTAAAACCCCATCTCTATTAAAAAATAAAAAAAATTAGCTGGGCATGGTGGTGCGCACCTGTAATCTCAGCTACTCGGGAGGCTGAGGCAGGATAATTGCTTGAATCCAGGAGGTAGAGGTTGCGGTGAGCCGAGATCTGGCCACTGCTTCCCGCCTGGGGCCTGGAGACAGAGCAAGACTCTGTCTCAAAAAAAAAAAAAAAAAAAAGTTTTGTATATAAAGAAAATAACTTAATAAAAAAATTTTTTTTTCTTCTTCTTTTTTCTTTTCTTTTTTTTTTTTAAGATGGGGTTTCACCATGTTGGTCAGGCTGGTCTTAAACTCCTGACCTCAGGTGATCCGCCCACCTTGGCTTCCAAAGTGCTTGGATTACAGGCATGAGCCACCATGCCCGGCTTTTAAAGTTTTTTTTTTGTTTTTTGGTTTTTTCTTTAAGAAAATAACTTTTAAAGGTGATTCCTTACTGCTTATTTCACTGGACAATACGATATAAGGTCTTTTCTTTTCCTAACTTGGGTGATCAAAACACAATGCATTTAGGCAATAGATAGATGCTGATTCCCCTTATAACAAAATGCAGGCTAAAATTAGACAAGCTGGTTTTCCCGCATTCCTCTCCTATCTTTCTGCGCCTTCATTTTTGAGTGAACTTCTAGTCTGCAGCAAGCTGTTACTTGTCAAGGATAGCAGCAAACTTCAGCCAGGAAAACGCATCTAAGGAGACCAAAACAAGAAGCAAAGCTACTGGCAGACGTGAAGCTCAACAGCCTTTCGAAGAAAATCAGAGAAAGAAAGGAAAGCAGGGAAGGAGGGATGGAGGGATGGAGAGCAGGAAGGAGGAAAGAGAAGAAGGAGGAGAAAACAGTCCTCTACGCTTTCCCTGGAAAATCTAAAGGTGTTTGGTGCCCGAAGGCCACTCAGCCTGTCTTTTGCCAGCTCTGCAGGACCTGGGGCGGATGCTGGGTGGATAAGCATGCCCCTTACTCGCATTAAGGCAGCACCTATGGCTGGACTGAAAGTTTGTTTTGTGCGGCCAGATGCATAGGGCAGGAGAAGGTGGTCACATCCAGACGAAATTATTTTCAATCAACAGCCATTTAAATACAAGAGGCGGCAGAAAGAAAGGGGGTAGGGGGATCAGGAGCTACTGGTGCCCATCAAAGCCTCCCAACCTCCAGCTCCCCAGCCCTAGTTCCGGAGCACCCACCTTCTTTCCAGGAGCCTGTTGCGTCCCGCTTCGCAGACGTGCACGTGGAGAGCTGAGTCCCTACAAACCGCCGGGGGCAGAGCCGGGGGAGGAGGCGCTGGCGAAGTGGGGCGCGGGGGGCGTCCAGTGTCGGCGGCTGCCCAGCTAAGGCTGCAGCAGGGGTGGGCTGGAGCCAGGGCGCGCGGGCGAAGCTGCCCCGGGATCCCCCGCTGAGGCTCGGTGTCCGCCGCCAGCCGGGCGCAAAGTGCCAGGTGCACTGTCCCCGCCCTGCGCGGCCCCCAGCGGCCCGGCTGAGGGCAGCGCGCGGCGGCGCAGGCGAGGGCACGCCCAGCCCCGGGCCTGCTAGGTCTCGCTCCCTCGGAGAGGAGGCGCAGTCTGCAGATTTTTAAGGGCAAAGGGTGGCGGAAGGGCGGCTTGGCGGCGAGAAGCTGGACGCACGCTCACTCTGCAGCTCCTCTCGCGACCTCTCTTCTAGCCGCTTTAAGGCCGCCTCCAGTCTCCCTGTCCCCCAAGGCCCGCCGGGGACCAGCCCAGATGATTAAAGCCGCGCGGCCACTTCCTCTCCTTCCAGGCAAACCCATCCCTCACACCCCGGGGCCTCAGGGCCGGGAGACTCCAGCCTCCCGGCTAGAATAGCTGTCTCCTTTAGAAAGAGCCCTGGAGCACCTGTGGTCAGCCAGGGGCGGCAACAGAGCGATTCGTCTCTGAGTAAGAGGGTGTGCCGCGTGTGACTCTCTCCAAGGCGGAGGCGCCCGACCCGGGGAGACTCCAGGAGACCCAAGGGCAGGCTGCATGCGGAAGTCTGGGCCACATCTGGTGTGGCTCACCTCAGGATCATCACCCAGTTCCGCCGGTCACCTTCCTGTTGGATTGATTTTTAAAGAGGGCCAGGGCCATCCAGGAAGGGTGGGTGACCTGGGCAATTTACACAACCTCTCCAAGCCTCCTTCGTTCATTTCATGCACGTTTGTTGAGTGCTTACTGCTAGACAGGCAGGGGCCTGGGCTCCCAGAATACAGTGGTTAATAAAACTGACCTGGAAATGACAATTTCCTCATCTGTGAAGTAGGTAGAGGGCTAGAATGCCTGCCAGGCCACGGAGGAATTTCATGCAGTATGATACAGGCGTTAGCGATTTGTATCACAAGGCCTGTGATGTCTTAAATTTTAATTAAAAAGTTACAAAATTTAGAAGTTGAATCTTTGTTCTTGCTTAAACCTCACCATATTCAGGAATTATTAAGGTTCGAAAGCATATTTAATTTAAAAAGGTGAGTTGAACATTGTTGGCAAATATAGGATATTATAATTAAAATAAAATCAGTAAAAACTTGAAGCAGAATGTCTTCATTTGGTAGAATTTGTCAACGATAGGAAGGGTTATCTGGACCCACTTCCCTACCTGTGAACACCATGAGAAGATCTGCTCTCATCCTGGGTAGAAATATTTAATGCTTGCTCTCTGGAAACCCTGCTCATGGCCCATTAGAACTTAGACTTTTGTCCAGATTTTATGTGTGACCTTGAATGATGGTTCTATTTATAACAATATTTTTTTCTTTTCAATGGAAAATTTCTGCATTGTGCTAAGAATTCAACTGGTTTTAAGCTTTCTTCTTGGCCTAGGTTAATTTTTAAACTTTTAATTATATGTAATGACTTGTGTGTATACAAATTTGTATTATATATACACACACCCATACATACAGACAATATATATAGATAGGAGCACAAATCATGAATGTATAGCTGAGTTTTCACACACTGAACACACCTATATGCAGTGTATATAAAGACAGTAATGTATAAAGCGTGCCCAGTTGAAGAAACAGGACATCACCAGTCCTCGGAAACCCCTTAGTGCCCCCTTTTAGTTATTCCTTTCAGTTATTACCACTGCCCCTGACTCCCCCCAGGCCCAGGATAACCATTATCCTATCTTCTAACTCCTTAGATGGGTTTTGCTGGTCTTTGTACTTTATATAAATGGAATCGGACCATATATGCATTATTTTGTGTCTGGCTTCTTGTGTTCAACATTATGTTTGTGAGTTTCATCCATATTATGTATCCTAGGCTTTTTTTTTTTTTTTTTTTTTTTGAGAGAGGGTCTTGCTCTCCCCAGACCAGAGTGCAGTGGCACAATCATGGCTCACTGCAGCCTTGATGTCTCAGGCTCAAGTGATTCTCTAATATCAGCCTCCTAAGCTGGGACTACAGGTGTGCACCACCATGTCTGGCTAATTTTCAAATGTATCATTTGTGGAGACAGAGTCTCACTTTGTTGACCAGGCTGGTCTTGAACTCCTGGGCTCAAGATGTCCTCCCATCTTGGCCTCCTAAAATCTTGGGATTTCAGGCATGAGCCAACATGCCCGGCTGTCTTACGTCTAATTTAACTCTGTTTTACTTACTACTCGGTTCTTGTTATTCTTGTGACACAGGCCCAACCCATCTCCTAAGTTCCTGGGTTAGAAGTGGGTTAAAAAGTGTATTCTGAACTTCAACATTTTATACATATATATTAATAAAATGCACACCCTGGGATGGGTGCAGTGGCTCATGCCTGTAATCCCAGCACTTTGGGAGGCAGAGGAGGGTGGATCACGAGGTCAGGAGTTCAAGATCAGCCTGGCCAGGATGGTGAAATCCCTTCTCTACTAAAAATACAAAAATTCGCCAGGCGTGGTGGCAGGTGCCTGTAATCCCAGCTGCTAGGGAGGCTGAGGCAGAGAATTGTTTGAACCCAAGAGGTGGAGGTTGCAGTAAGCCAAGATTGCACCACTGCACTTCAGCCTGGGCCACAGAGTGAGACTCCCAACTCAAAAGAAAAAAATAAAATGCACACTTTTTTCCTCTTTCAAAAACAAGCAGAGGTGGGCATGGTGGTTCACATCTATAATCCTAGCGCTTTGGGAGGCTGAGGGGGGCGGATCATGAGGTCAAGAGATTGAAAACATCATGGCCAACATGGGAAAACCTGGTGTCTACTAAAAATAGAAAATTAGCTGGGCATGATGGCACACCTGTAGTCCCAGCTGCCCAGGAGGCCGAGGCAGGAGAAACACTTGAACCTGGGAGGCAGAGATTGCAGTGAGCCGAGATCGTGCCATGACACTCCAGCCTGGCTACAGAGCAAGACTCCGTCTCAAAAAAGCAAAAACAGAAAAACAAGCAGAATCAATTCACTGAGTCTGGTAATTAATTTATACATATGAATCAGTAATGGATTGTTTATTCACTAGTCACTGTAATACTGTGAGGTAGACACCATAATATGTGTTAAAAATACTCAGATTAACTGGCACACACTTTATCTTTGAATAGTAGGGGGATGCCAAGGAATACAGAATAAGGCATCTACTTCTGCCAGGAGTTTGAAGTGGTAGGGAATATGAGAAAAGGCTTCAGAAAGGAGGTGATTTTTGAGATGGAATTCGAAACATTGGATAAGAGCTTCATAGTTACTCATAATAGCCTGAAGTTTCTAGAGAATTGTTTTAAGGTAATAATATACATATATACTTTTAGTTAGCAGATAGTTGTGTTTCAGGTAGCAGAAGGGTGGCAGATAAAGAGAAGCTCCATCTCTTGACTTTGAAATCTTATACATTCAAGGTGCAAATACTGAAAAAATCTATTATCAATTACTCATACACTGATAAACTCACCTTTGAGCTAGTACCTTCAAAAAGGGAAATCAACTGGGTGTGGTTGTTCAGACCTGTAATCCCAGCACCTAGAAGGCCAACGCAGGAGGATTGCTTGAGCCCAGGAGTTCACGAACAGCCCAGGCAGCATAAAAAAACCCCTATCTTCACACAAAAAAATAATAAAAATTATGCGATGATCTGTGTAGCAAATCACCGTGTTTGTTACCTATGTAACAAACCTGCACATCGTGCACCTGTACCCCTGAACTTACAATAGAAGTTGAAGAAAAAACAAGTTTGAAATAATATAAATTACCTTGGTGTGTTGGTGTGTGCCTGTGATCCTAGGTACTCAGGAGGCTGAGGTGGGAGGATTGCTTGAGCCTGGGAGATCAAAGCTACAGTAAGCCATGGCTGTACCACTGCACTCCAGTCTGGGTAACAGAGCAACAATCTGTCTCAGTTTAAAAAAAAAAAAAGGTAAGTCATGTGATGTCTGGGATATTAGTTTAGACTGGATGAGAAATGTGGCCATATTCCATATTCAATGAACGCAAAAGGGAAACGAATGAGTAGAGGCCTTTGAAAGTCTCAGCTACTTTAACTGGTTAAACACAAGCGGCTTTTTTCCTCTAGCACCTTTTCTTTTCTTTTCTTTTTTTTTTTTTTGAGATAGAGTTTCCCTCTTGTTGCCCAGGCTGAAGTGCAATGGCGTGATCTTGGCTCACTGCAACCTTCACCTCCTGAGTTCAAGCGATTGTCCTGCCTCAGCCTCCCAAGTAGCTGGGATCACAGGCATGTGCTACCATGCCCGTAAAGACAGGGTTTCTTCATGTTGATCAGGCTGGTCTCGAACTCCCGAACTCAGGTGATCCACCCACATTGGCCTCCCAAAGTGCTGGGATTACAGGTGTGAACCACCATGCCCAGCGCTTCTAGCACCTTTTCACTAAAAATTCTAGAGAGTTAATTTAGGTAGAATAAGGACGCTGCTAGAAGGAGAAAAGAGGTGGAGATGTTTTTTTCGTGATTCATGGTTTTGATAAATACTTACCCAATATAAAGTTCTTTACTAAGTCTTCAGCTTATAAACCTGCGAAAAGTCTGATGACTTAGAAATGGCAATAGATACCTAAAATATATTTTTATTGGCATTGAGTCCTTGGCACATACAAAATGGCAGCTGTGTTCATGTGTGCAAAGAACATGTTTTGCTCAGCACAAAGAGGCAGAATGTGCCGATTATCGCTGCACCCTCCTCCCCAACTGGATGGATAATGAGCACTTTCTATGCCCAGGCAAGTTCTAAAGTTTTCTCCTTGCCAGGGTGAAAAGGGTGTGTCTCAGCGTACCCATAGGGTTGAATGAGAAAGAGCAAAGAAGAGTAAAAATGCCTTTGCTGGGGGCTGTGCTGGAGCCCACCTTTGAGAATGAGAGAAGCATGAAATGGTGCCTCTTTCCTTCCAATCCTCTTTTCCTCTGTCCCCTCTTCTCCTTCCTTACATTGCATCCTTCTTAATCAAACGGTACAAGGGAGTATACAGAGATAACGGAATCTTCCTCTCATCCCTGATTATTGAGTTCCCTTTCCTGGAGATAATAGTTACCTGTTTCCCCTGAAATTTTCCAGAGACAGTCTGTGCATGTAGATGATTTCTGCTTCTTATGCAAGTGATAGTAGTCTATACGTATTGCTCTGCATTTTGCTTTTCTCCCTTGAAAATATCTAGATGATTGTAGGAAACATCAGTCATATTCATGGCTGCCCATCATCCTTGGAATGTTCTCCTTAGTATTTGTGAAAATCTTTATGTTTTAATCCCAATCTAGAAGTCAGAACTCAAATTCCCAACCTCACTTGCAGCGAGGGCACAAGCCTATGACCTAGGCTCTGTCATCCAGGTACACTCAGGCATGACTTTAATTTGGAAGTGAGTGAGGTGCAGAAACAGGATGTACTTGGAGTTTCCCTCTTTTCTGATGTGAGTGGTGTCAGGAATGACTGTGTGGTGGTAGCAGCACTGGTGATAGTTTTCTGGAGGCTGCGAGGTTAAAGTCCCAATGCGGAAGTGGTGTCAGTGCTGGTGGGTGGCAGTGGCAGGTGCAGTAACGTCAAGTT